ATACAAAGTGGACAAAAACAAAAGGAGAACTAAACCATAAAGCAAAGTTAATTAAAACTGAGTAGAGGAGAGGAAATGTTAGAATTTTCTTTGCCATCAAATAATAATGTTAAATGTATCTTGTCTTGTCCATCATTATTAGGAACCTTATCTAATTTTGAAGGAGACTGGCATATATTAAGCAGATATCAATAAGGAAAGAGATAACAATTTGGGTTCATTATTATTGTGAATTAAAATAAATTAGATTTATGTCATGGAAAGGATTACAAGCCCATTAACTGCTCGATCCTCTAAAAATAAACCCATGAAAAAATACCTTAAATCCCATTTAATTGTTTTTAATAATTAACCAGTATGTTTTTTTCTAATCTATATGGAAAAAATAAAGCCAAATGTATATGAAATGTAAAAAAAAGACGAAATATTCAAGATCTTGCAACATTTTTAGGTAAGCAATCAAATTTAAGCAAATTTGTGGCAAAAGGTACAAAAGGTCAGACTCCCTTGAGTTGTGTCCCTTCCACTGACTTTCAGCCAGCGGCCACCTCTAATAATTATTGCTGTGCCTTATGTTCCCAGCAGATCATTGCTTACTAAGTAGCATTGTGATAGCTGGAAACATGGCAACAGAACTTAGTGAAAGTGTCAGAAGTCACATTGTGATGCTAAGCAAAGAGGGGCCTCTTCATCGTCACGGCTTGACGAAAGGTTTCTAAGAGGGCAGTGCGTGGAACTCTAAAATGCTTTGCAAGAACTTCTTGACAGGCGGTGAGATAGAGTTGGACGTCCACAGCTCCTCGAGTCCGCATCCCAAAGTATGTTTGGGCAAGATACTGAGCCCCAGATTCTGTGAGTGCGTGTGAATGGTTAACTGTGTTGCAGGTGGCACCTTGTATGGTAGCCTCAGCCTAGTGTGTCATTGTGTGTGTGTGTGTGTGTGTGTGTGTGTGTGTGTGTGTGTGTGTGAATTGGTGAATGTGGTGTTAAAGGGTAACTTCATTATTTTTCAACCAGGACACCATTTTCCCCTGTTTTTGTGTCGAAGTGACTAATGGCAACAACAGTTTTTGAAATTTGTCCAGTATTAAGTGAGACTGCTACAGCTGGCAGCAGTGAAACAGGCTGTAATGTAACCACTTGGGGCAATTGTGCACTGTAGGGTTGTCAAAAGTATTGATACTCTGAAAAGTATTTAGTGAAGTGAACACAGCACGCTGCAGACGGCAGGTACAGCCCCTCCCCTCACTAGCAGCTGAGCAGCTGGTGTCGCCAGCATCAAACTAAAATATAACTTCTAACGTTAATGTGGGAGCTAAGCAGAAAACTTTATCAGTCATGCCCGTCTGTAACATTAATAGACAATGTTAGTTTAACAGGACAACACAATTATGTGTGTCTGAAAAGTTATGTTCACTGTAAAGTCACAGATTGAAGCTGAAAAAACGGTTGGTTTCTCCCATAACCCCTGGTTCTCTGATCACATAGTGAGGTAGAAACAGGAGCATCCTGAGCCTAAACTACCAACTCTATTTGATCAGCAACGAAAATATGGTGCCAATTCACCAGAAGCACAGAAAATAAACAGGGCTGTAGATAAATACATTTGTATGGACAGATCTTGTTTCTGGTTGTTATTTATTTTGGGGTGATTTTTTGTTGTTATCATTGATGTTACTGTTCTGATCTTTATTTAAAAAATGACATGCCTCTTAATTTTTTGCTGCTGTATCGAAAATGGTATCGAGTATTGAATATTTTCCTCGGTATTGATATCGAGTTTGAAATTTTAGTATCGTGACAACCCTAGTGCATTGTCAATTTATGTCCCCTTAAAGTGCTAGCTTATGCCACTGACAGGTTCAGATTGTTATTTTAAATGTCTGACATCATTATAGAAAGGATCCTGACAGAGACAGACCTTTTTGTAAAAGAGTAAGATTATCTTTTATTTAACCACAAACAGCCTTGAAATCGCCATTGCCAAAGCCACCAGACTCCATTTAAATAAACAGTAATTTAAGCATTGCACAACACACTTCATTCAAAGTCCACAAAAACAAAATAAAATCACAAAAGCCATCTTGGTTCAAATTTCCACTGTTTCAACAATCAACAACTCTGGTTTGGGTTGAATTAAAACCTTATTCACCCAGTTAGATGTAAAAATATGCTAGCCGTATACACACTAAAATCCCTGCTTATTTAAATGGAGTCTGGTGGGTTTGGCAATGGCAATTTCTGGGCTGTTTCGGGTCAAACAGAAAGGATCTTACTCTTTAACACAAAGGTTTGTCTCTGTAAGGATCCTTTCTGTCATGTTGTTAGACACTTAGCTATAATAATAATCTGAGCCTGTCAGTGGCAAAAAATAAACACGTTTTAGTGGACATACATTGAGGGTGCACAATTGCCCCAAAAGATTACATTGCAGCCTGTTTCACTGCTGCCAACTGCAGCCCTGTCACTCAATGCTGGACCAGTTTCAAAAATTATTGTTCCCATAAGTCCCCTAGACACATATAGGAGGGAAAACAAGGTCCAGGTTGAAAAATACCGAAGTTACCCTTTAAAGCGCTTTGAGTAGTCAGATGATTAGAAAGGTTAATACAAGTCCATAGAAGATCAAGGAGGCCTGACTGTTATGGACTTTCTTAGAAAGTCACCTGACCTCAACTGTACTGAACATTTATGGGGACCCTTGAAGGCTGAGAAGTCACCAGAAACTCTTGGGAACATTGTCACATCATGATGGAATACCAGGTTTTGTACAAACTTGGGGAGTCCACAGCAGCTCACGTGCATGCTATCATTAAATCAAAAGGGGGACATACCACAGATATTCTGAAATTCATGAACTTTTCACTCACATTGTTAGGCTGATATTAATTAAAATGAAAAAAAAAGATGTTAGATTCAAAACAAATACAAAATAGACGTATTTGGCTAATGCCTAGACCTTTGGACCTCATATATGTACATACATGGTGGTTTAATTGACAGTGAAATTGTTTATAAGTCCTTTGTATGTTTTGTATGCAAAACTAACTAACTAACTAACTAACTAACTAAAGGAGTAAACCTAGTGATGACCTAAATACAAAGTACACAATTTACCTCTGAGATATCATGGAGTAAAAGTATTAAGTTGCATAGTAATACCCAAGTAGTGTACAAATACTTCAAATTTGTACAGTACTTACAGTAAATATACCTAATCATATTACACCACTGGAGAAGCCTTTAAACCTCCAGGGCAGAAAGGACTGTGTGCTTTCAGTCATTTACTGTAGCAAAATCTCTGCACGATACTTTTATCTTTATTCTACTAACAGTAGAACTGATCTTACCTGCGGACTCCATGTGCGAGTTTGAAGAGCTGAGCTCCGAAACAAAAGCGAATTTCAAGAAAAAATAAAAATAAAACAGATAAGACAAAGTGCAGTGTTTTTAATCAGTCATCCGTCACGGTGATGCGTTCACGGTCGGTTTGTCTGGAATTGTATGAACATGGAGAGACAAAATAAAAACCTACTAAATATCTCAGTTAAGATATAACATAAACTAAATCATAGCTACAGCGAATAAAAATCTCTTCTTCATCTTCACTTTGTGGGGCTCTGACTTTCTCCCGTCTGTTTAACACCTAGATGACGTCACGTCCCGTGCCCGTCAGGTGGATCATCCCGGAAGTACGACAACACCTTTAGTAAACGGCATCAGTGTGCCTGACCATTCACTTGCTCCTCAATGCCTTCTTTGAAAGACAACTGACACAGTCAGAGGAGGACATACTCAGATCTATAATAGTAGTAATGCATCAAAAGCATCAAAATATACTTACTACCAAAAGTAAATTAGTTATAGAATGACTCATTAAAGAATAATACATATTATATTATAGAAATATAATTATTGATGCATTTATGTGTTAATTACTTTAATGTTGAAGCTGGTAAAGGAGGAGCTCATCTTTATTTACATATATTTTATATACTTCACATACTCCTGGGGAGTCTGTGAACTTCCCCTGAGGATCATTAGTCTCATTGTCATTATCATTGATAATATGAGCACCTGTACCGTGTTACGCTGACAGGTATTTCTAATAGTTTGTCAACCCCATTGATATGAGCGAAGGTTGGCGGAATAACAGAAACAGCTGTCAGTATAATACCTTGGTGAAGGGGGGGATTTACTGCTGGACTGTACTATAAGACCAATTTCATTTAAACCAGGTGAGTGTAGATACACACCACAGTGTAGCAAAAGCATTACATATGAAATCAAATACTACTACTATGTTATCAAACTGGTGTTGAATGCTGTAAACCGGAGTCCACAACTAATACTAATTTTCAATATCAATTCATCAGCAGATTACTCAGCTCATCCATTATTTGCTCAAGAAAGTGTGTTGTGTGTAAAAAAATATCAGAATATAGTAAAGCTTTGGAACAGTGATTTCCTGCAACCCAAGGAAATACCTTCATATTGTTTGTTTTGACCGACAAAGACTTCAAATTTACTGTCACATGAGACAAAGAAAAGCAGCAAATCCTCGAAGGAAGAAAATAAAGAAACCTAAGTGATGGTAAACAAAACGTTGTCACACAGACACGTGTAAGAGCTACGATACATCAACAGTTGCAGAAAATAAATTTGCCTTTATGTGACATTATGCGGAAGGTTATCCACGGAAGATAACTAACAATTTAACAACACAAAATTCCATGACCGTTCCAGGCCTGGAAAATGTGATTGTGACATACAATGACTTCTCCATGATATTTATGTCTGTTTTTTATGTTTACACTATCCACATGGTGTTTGTGGCTAATAGTCCATGATAGGACACATGTACAGGACATTGTGCTTTCACCTAGAATGTAATATGCAATTTAAATTAAGTTTTGCTTGTCTGCTATTTCTCTGCAGTAAGTTTGCATATTAAGTCCCAAAAATGTAAACCTGACAAACAGACCTCACAGACGAGCACATATCTTCCAAATGTATTTTATTAGATCTGACAGAAATCTGTGGATAGTACAGGATCTTTTCTGCACTGAATAAACCTCCAGGTCTCATTCTGAAAGGGGCTGATGCATGTGAACCTTCTCTGGAGGGTTGTTATGATAGTTTAAAGGGCCTCCTCTTCTCCTCTGCTCTTCTTCCTCAGTGAAGTAAAAAAAAGAAAAAGAAAAAAAAGAACAGGGTCATCTGACCCTCTCATGTCACTGCTGAGGAAGAAGAGCAGAGGGAGGAGGCATCTTTAAAACACTGACATGTCCTGTTCTGTTCCCTTCCTTCCTCCTTGTGGAAAAAAAACAAACAAAAAAAAAAAGCCAAGAAGAGGGCGATGGTTGTGATGTCCAGCTGATGAGGGCGTTGCTACTGTGACGTTCCGTTTTCTCCCCCTCTCCCCTCAGTCATCGTCCACTGTGGGTGTGATGGTCACACCCCTCCTGATCTGTCCCCATCCAATCAGACTGAGGAAGAAAAAGAAGAGGAGCCAATCAGATGACAATATAAAGATTTGTTAACGGTCTTGTGAAAACAATTTCCCAGATGAATATGAAAGGAAATCTTTACTAAATGCTGTTTGCGTCTTTCCTCTCTTATTACTAAAATTCCTTCTGTCTTGATCTCTAACAACACTTCTGATTTTGCAAACAGTCACTCAAACTAATTTCTTTTCCTGTTGATGCTTGAAAAAGGTCCCAGAGCCACAAAAACGATTGCCTCAGTAAATGATTATCGCAGATTTGATTGTCCAGATTCCAGCACACCAAAAAAGCCTTTATTTAGTGAGCAGTGATCATTAAATACTGGACAGAAACACATTAAAAATGACACAAGCATGCAGGCTAGCTTTGAATTGCAAAGACAAATGATGTCTGTGGTGAAGGATTAAGATTCATCTCTCTGTGCTTGTTTGCTGTGAGTAATTGTTAAGAGGGCTTGCAGTTTACATCCAGTTTAGGCACAGCACCCCCCTCAATTTTATTGGACAGCATGTATACAAGCATGTGAGGAGCCAATCAGCTACTTGGAGTAGTTAACTGGTTTACTGGCTCGTTTGGTTTGCCTGATAGTCCACTCCAGTGAGTTTGATAGATATGTTTGGGATACAGGTTGTCTTGCTGGCTGTAGAGAAGGTTATGTGTGTCAATTAATATCTAAAAAATATTTTGCTAGAAACAAAGAGATGATTTCTAATTTCATAGTTTGACTGTCCATGTTATTCTCATTTAAAATTAAACATATCTGCATATCTCATGTATTGATACCCTGTGGACAAAATGACAGGACTTTTAGTTTAACTAATTACGTTAGTATTGTGTTTATATTGTAGTCAATTATAGTGATGTGTCTGTTATTTTCTGTTACTATGGAAACCATATTCAACCCAAGTGTAAACCTTTACAGCCTTCCAGTAAAGTACAAGAAACCTTTGAAGCGTCTTCTTGTCAGCGGTGGAAATAAGTCACACATGTACAAGTCATACATAAGTTTCCAGTCACAACCTTCAAATTCTAAGCAAGTCCTAAGTACAGTGGTATTAGTTACTTTCACTAGAGTAAAGGAACTAAATACTTTGCCTCCTGCTCCAAGCCTTCTGGTCAGGGTGAGAGATACTCCACTCAGGGTAACATACATGCTGCTGTGAAGGCAGCTGAGATAATAACGCGCTGTTAAATTCTCTGAACACAAGATCTTTTTTGGGCTTTTGCCTGTAAATCGATAGGACAATATTAAGCGTGGAAGGGGGTGATGACATGCAGCAAAGGGCTGCAGTCTTGAATGGAATCTACGACTACCTCGGCAATAAACATGGGGCACCTGCTCAACCCACTGAGCTATTGGGCGCCCCAGCCAGTGACATTTATTAAGAGGTTTAAAATGCCATCAAGCAGAAGTCAACACGTTTTTATATCAAAACTATCTTTTAATTGGTTCTGGCGCTGCAGTTACTTGATTGTTAGCTATCTAATATGTGAGCACTTGTACAAAACTTAAATTTGTTCCTTATTAGGCCAACACAATACCTAGACCCCAAGAAGAGGAGCAGGTTGTGCTGTAAAAAATTTCCCTGACAATTTGAACATACAAATATAAACACCGGCAAGGTGTATATTATTGTATCAAAATAATTGTGGTTTGGAAAACTTTGTAAAGACTCTGTTCCTCACCGCCAATGTTTCTCCACACGTCGACTCAGAGCAATCTTCTCTCCTACTTCTGTGCAGACGGGGTTAGTGAGGACGATCTTGGCCAAATCAGCCTTCACGGCACTAACGCGGCCGCCTGTTGACAACGAGCCAATGTTTACCATCAGCACCTCATTCTTAGACAGCTTCTGGACCTGCAGAGGCACAAAAAGATAAACAGATGGTGTCATGACACAGTTCATCCCACACAAGTCAAGGTAACTATCTCAGCACAACCAAAACATTTAAAGACTTGAAATGATACCTTTCAAGGCCTTCAATAGTACTACTGTAATTTAAAGACAGTTGGATCTTCAGTTATGGCTCTAAAATTCTTCGACATTGCTCCTTTCTTACACTTCAGAATGAACTACATTTCCCAACATGCACATCTCACCTTGGCAGCCTTCTTGTCTCCCTCTGTGCGGACTCCCAGCAGCCTCCTGAGAAGGAAGTAGGAGATCTCCAGCTCGGTGAAGATCTCTGGCAGCGCTCCAACGGCGCCCAGCACCTGACCCACCATACGATCCGCCCGGCACAGTGTCGGGTCGATCTTAGTGCCCACACCTGTACACAAACAAAGTTTACTTTGCTAAACCGTTGGTGAAACCTTTTGTCATTTGTGCTTATAGTTTTCATCTTTTGTGCAATTCCTTTTGAAGTATTGATTCCATTTTATATTTTTTTTGTTTGTTTGTTTCAGTGAGTTACAGACCAGACGCAAGCTGGCCATGGCTATAAAGGTGAGGTTATAAAGTCACAGTGACTATTGCATCACAGCAACAAACACATTTAGGAAAGCTGAAAAGCCAGAAACATTGAAAACATCAGCATTTAACCTGCTGCTTCAGTTTGCTTCTGCCTGCAGTGGCCTCAGATTAAATCACATAAAAAGGTGAAAATGTGTGGACGTACCAATAAGGCCTCCGGGTGCAGCATACTGCAGGTCGTTGTGCTCAGCAAACAAAGAGACGATCTTGGAGAAGATGGGTTTGCACATCAGCTTTCCTTCGTGGTCTTTGGACACGATACCTGGCCGCACCTCGATCTCTTGACCCACCTGGAGATCACACAGAGAGGAGAAGGTGGAGGACTGGTTAGAGGAAAACTCAACTGGAAAGGTAGATTACTGCAGAAAGACTGTGATTATACTTCTATCCAAAATGTAACCTCTCATTCTATCAGTGTCTGTTGTAGGAAGCAATCAATACCCAAGGTCAATACAAGTGGAGAGCCAACAGTAAAGATACACATACAAGTTTATACATCTCAACTAATCCTGTGAAGCACATTAGGGAAAAACAACCAACTTGTCTGTGTTGGAACCACAGAAAAGCTGTCAGGAACAGGTACATTAACATTCATCTCACACTAAGATAAGAGATTCTTTGTGCCCAAGTTACTTTCCATCTGCTGTAAGTAGCTGGTCTCACGCAGCCAGACCTATGTCTACAGTGTCGTGTTAGTGCTTGAGAAAGATCTGGAATCACAATATTACCATTCTGCTACAGAGGAAAAACGCACTAGAATGTTTATTTCTCTAAACCAATCACAATCGTCTTGGGCGGCACTAAGCCCAGGATGCAGTGACTGTGCCCTTGCGAAATATTGTTAGGGGGAACACACACACAGTGGCAGGACTTAACTGCAAGCATCTCTCGGCTAACATCTAACGATTATTAATGGATTTAATGATAGTGTCTAGCCATTTCAATTCCAGTGTGAGTTTGCTGGGACTGTTTAACAGCTTGGTGCAAGATACTAGCCTTGCTGCTATGTTAGCTTGTGCTAACCAGGCAAATTCACCAGGGAGAGAGCAGCAACAGTTTGCCGATCTGGCAGGGAGCTGGGACCGTCTAGGACCAGACCCCCAGCACAAAAAGAATCAAACTCAGGTATCGTTTGACTGGAGACATTTTGACAGATGTAACAAACCAGATGCAACTGTCTAAGTCAGAAAACGCAGCAACATCGAGCATGAGGGTGCTGCCAGACGGAATCTGAGCTTTTCCGAGGTGCATTCATACATTGTTTTATTTGTTGTACATCTTTACAACAATTCACTGAAAGAGCAAATCAGTAAGAGCAAATCACAGTTTTGTCTGGTGAAAGTATGAAGAACAAATCTCACCTTGAGCACACCCTTCAGGATACTTCCTCCTGCCACACCTCCTTTCAAATCATCCACTTCACAGCCAGGCTTGTTCACATCAAAAGATCTGATGACTGGAATACAGAGTGTTTTCATTTAACACCACACAAAACCATTGAGAAAGAATTTTATGTAACAAAGTGCTTCACAGCAGAAAAGCAAATAAAAATGTAAGTACAATGAGGCTAAAAGGCTAAAAGCATGACAGAAGGAAAACAAAAAGCAAATAACACACAACAGGTTGTAAAAAAAAAAAAAAAAAAAAAAAAAAGGTGACTTGTGTGTATTTTCTTACCAATGAGTCTGGGCTCGGAGATAAAGTCTCTGACAGGAACTGGGATCTTTTTCACGATGTATTCACAAACCACCTCAATGTTGTACTTCAGCTGTGCTGAGATAGGAATGATGGGAGCGCCCTCTGCCACTGTGCCTGCAGGAGGATCATCACACACAACATCAAGTCATGGTCACCAAATGGTTTAGAGAAAGATAAAAGTGAATTGTAAGGTCAGCAGTTTGAAGTGGGGTGCCTGGAGATGCTCATTTATTCAACAGGCCTGAAAAATGTGGCTTTGCAGGTCATTTTAAAAGCTGTTGTGTTTAAAATTAATTGATCACTGTCACTAGCTCAACATCAGTATACTCCAGGTAATACTCCAACCAAAATCTTTGCAGAAACAAACTCTCACCCCTGAAGGCTTGAAAGATGGCTAAAAACCTGACATTTGCTCAGTGTGACACCAAAGTTCTAACTTATTTTGGGAAACAATGAGTGTTGTTGTGAGTTACACAAACTTCTAATATAAATGTCTGGGTTTTTTTAAAGGTAACTTTATCTGATGATTTTCCTTTCCTTTCTTGGTCAAGACTTATGGAGGCTGCTAGCAAATATAAATTAAAGTTTTGACAGCATTTTGTGTGCAGGAAGCTCATCTCGCTGCACAGCATAGAGACCCATTTGCGAAAAGAGCAAGCTCAAATCAATCAGAAGAACAAGATCTTGAAAGAAGATGAGATGGATGATGTGACAGTGTGTGGCAAAATAGGTTCTGTTTACTTAACCTGAATTTAAAAAGAAACAGGGAGGTTAACACTGTACAGCAGTGCCAGTCGTGCTGTGTAGTGTTACCGTGTTGTGTAGCATGGAGTAACAAATGACAGTGGGCATCATATCCGATGGATAACATAAAATACAGACTTTGCTTATTTCACGTGAATGCGTCACGCAGAACACAGACATGGTGGCGTGATTGCTAGATTATGGGTAACACTAGTACTGTGCAAATAAAGCTTTAGTCGCTTTCATGTTGACTCACCCTGTACGAAGGCGAGGATCTGCTCGTACTGCTCTTTGGCCTGGCTCTCCTTCACCAGGTCAATCTTGTTCTGCAGGATGAGGATGTGCTTCAGCTTCATGATCTCTATGGCCGCCAGGTGCTCTGACGTCTGAGGCTGAGGACACGACTCGTTACCCGCTGGGAGACACAGACAACAACAATAATCAGATGACTTTTAAAGAGAAAACTGGCAGTAAATAACACACAACTAAGAGACTTACCAATGAGCAGGAGGGCTGCATCCATGACAGCAGCTCCGTTCAACATGGTTGCCATCAAAATGTCGTGACCAGGACAGTCCACAAATGACACATGTCTGGAAGAAAGAAAAAAAGTCCCACTGATGAATGAATAAAGATATTACAGATTTTACCAGTTTAGTCAAACTGATTGCAAAGTTAATAAGTCTTAATCTAGACTTTTGTGACACAACCAGTCTCTCCTCAGTCTTACCTGACCAGTTTGAAGTTACCCTTGGTGCCAGGGATGTCCGAAGGGAACTCATCAGGAGTGCTGCTGCCACACGACCTGTAGCACTCTGGCCTGGGACAGCTGGGGTCATCCAACTTATAGACCTACAGTAACATGGAAGTGTAAATTAATATGTATTGAGCATTTTTAATGTTGTGCATGCATGAAAATCGGATCCTGTTCTAACATAGGAGTTGGAAAATGTCAAAATGGGCAAAGCTCCAATCACACAGGCATTTCCCTTCAAAATTAAAAAAAAAAGGTAGATGGGAAAGGTCCTGATTACCTTCAGAAAATTCAATCCACAGTGCCACTTACCTTAGCGTTAGCATATCCTAGCTTGATGGTGATGTTTCTCTCGAGCTCATTCTTGAACCTGACAGTATGAACACCAGAAATGGCCTTCACTACTGTGGACTTTCCATGGGCCACATGACCGATGGTGCCTGAGAGAGGAAAGACAGAAGTCAAGCAGGAAGTCCTCAGTTACTATTTCCAACATGCTGAAAGACATAAAATCTGATCAATATTTATCTGATTCACATACCAATATTGATGGTGGCCTGTCTGCTGATGATTTCTTGAGAGAGAGGCGTCAAAGTAGACACATCCTGCCAAGAGAACAACTCACATTAGACTAATCACACACTGAAAAACAGCACAGAACATTGGCAGGTTTTCCCTGTGAGCAGAGCAGCGCTGCCTCGCTCTTTTTAATCCTGGAGGTGAATAGAAACAAAAGAAGCTGGTAGAGTGACAGACATGCAAACACTGGCCCGCACTGACTCTGCAAACATATGAACTGGACACACGCAACTCAGACACACAAAGTGACATATGTTAAACCAGTGCTGTTGCTTCTGTCTGTTTGTATATTGCACCTTATTCTATTTATTTGTATAGCACATTACAACAAGTCAATTCAAAGTGTTCTGCATCACACATCAAAATCATCAAGACAAGTGCAAAACAAACGCATCATAAGGGACATTTAAATACAATTAAAACTTACTTAGAGAGCAAGAGAATAGAAAATTAAAAACAAGCTAAAATATTTTAAGACAGGAACTTTAAATAAAAGTTACAGTGTAGTGCAAGAAATGAATAAATATTTGATTAAACAAAAGGCAGCAGCAAACAGAGAAGTCTTCAGCCTTGATTTAAAAGAACTCAAGAGTTGTAGCAGACCTGCAGTTTTCTGGGAGTTTGACCAACAAAAACTAAACGTTGCTTCTCCATGTTTAGTCTTGAATCTGAGGACAAAAGCAGACCTGTCCCCTATGACCTGAGGGGTCTCAATGGTTTATAGAGTAGCAATTCTGAGCTCTTAATACATTGTATACTAATTTACTCTTCTAATATGTTGCTATATTAATACAGATAACACTACTTATTCATATTGTGTATTATTCTGGTGTGTACATATATACTAGGTGCTATCAACCATACTTCTATCAATTATCTTGTAACTTCATCTTTAATTGCTCTTGTATATTTTATATTTTTACTTCTGTTGTGATTCCAGTTGTATGTATGACTATATGATAGCTAAGCTTTCATTTCTTAAGGGCAACATGCCCCACCCCATGCGGGACACTTCTGAAAGCACTGGGCAGCTCCCTCAGTGACAGGCTACTTCACTCACAGTGTGTGAAGGAGAGATACTGCAGGTCCTTCCATCCTGCTGCTGTCAAACTATGCACCCAAAACTACTCACAGTAGACCACACACAAACCAAAACTGATTATTGACAATCAGTCATCACTCATGTGCAATATCAGTGAATACCAACTGTGCAAAATCTACAATTGACGTGCTATAATGTGAATCTAGCCATTCAGCCTGTCTTTTTGTTATATCTTCATATATCTTTTATTTTTACTATCTACAATTATCACTCAGATGCAATATCTGTATATGCTTAACTGTGCAATACCTATACTTCAAACATTCATCAGCCAGGCAATATAATAAGTGATATTGCACTGTTGTTTTTACTGTTTACTTATTTTAGTTGTTCTGTTTTCTACTGTTTACTTATTAGTATGATCTGTACCTGTACCAACACAAACTTAGTATATTGCATTGTGTTTTTGTTTTTTCAAAATTACTGTTCTCTTATTTGCACAATCCACTTTGCTGCTGTAGTAATGCAATTTCCCTCACTGTGAGACTAATAGAGGATTATCTTATCTCATACATCTTATTAATGATTTTAACTTCTCTATTTATTTGTACTTAATACTGTCTTCATGCTGCTGCAACACCTGAATCGTAATCGTTAACTGAAAACTCAAGTGACATATATAAATATTGGACAAAAGTTCTGGGTATCATTGTTTTTTTCAGTATCACTCACTTGCATGTTGTCTCTATCATTTACTTTACTGTCTGCTGATTATAATGAAAACACAAAGGGGTGCTAACCTATGATCCAATCCTGCTAACACCATTAACAACACCTTCAACTAATAACATGTTTTTATAAATAACTGTCCGATCAAACTTTGATGTATAACGGATAACAGCCTGCAAACAAAACGGGACTATTCTGAATTCGTGCGTCTGCTTCCATCACCGTTACGACTCCCATTGATATTTTTGTAGATTTTACTTCCACTTAGCATATGACGCTAACATTTTGATCCAACTGGGGCATAAGCTACACAGAAATTACTGACATAGGACAAAGACAGCGACTACTACAGCACTGTAAATACATATTATCCATAAACGTTTGTCTCATTTCAAAATGTTGATTAATTTGAAGCTAATCCTTGTTGGTGGTTCTATTAGCTCTCCGCCCCGCCGGGCCTGTCATGTGCCGGGTGGTGGCGGCGCAGCACCGGTCACCGTTAGCGGTAAAGAAATTCACCTTTTGTGTAACCGTTTTGGCAACACGACGGACCGACAGCCACCAAAATGAAAACACAAAGCTGTGAAACCCGTTAAGCTGACACTTACCAGAGTACTAAGGTCTTGTCTAGCCAGATGAGGCTGACCCAGCGTTGTACCAGACTCGTCACCCGCCATCTTGGATGAAAAGGGAATGAATAAGGCGGCTCTGGCGAATGCCTGATCAACCGCTGAAAACGGTAGATTGTCCTTTTCCTACAATCAGTTATTACATCAAATTATGTTCCCCTTTTCGTAGTCGTGGTAGAAAATCATATATGTTTAAAACAAGACGTCTGTTAAACGTTTGTTTTTCGCTAATAAATGATAGAGACGTGATTTGCAATTTGCGTGACTCATCCAACGGGGTCCTTCCACAATGCATGATGCAATTTTTTTTTTATTATAAAATATATTTTATGTCGTAAATCTGCTGCTATTTATATACCACTAGCACCTGTTTGTCACAGAACTGTGCACAGGAACCAACTATTTTTGTCTTGCTCCAAAAAGTAAAAAAAAAATTTTTGTCCATGTGTTAGGTCCGTCGCTGTTTTAAGAGGTCATCAAAAATATGTTTTGTAGTCCTGTTGTGTGATTTGTAGTTCTCTAACAAAACCTGGAATACTGCCTGACCCCAGATTAGCCGTAGTGTCAATTAGTTTGAAATTTAACTAAATACAATTATTATATTAATTTGTGAATATGCACCTTTGTAACACATCATCAACTGAAATAGCCCAATGAAAGTCTTTAAACTAGAAATATTTGCAACTGTATTTTAGCCCCTCTACAAGAATTGACCCCCTGGATAATGTAAGACTTGCCCTAAGGTCCGTAAAGAGGGTATTTACACATGCATTTTAATGTAAGGTTACTGAGTTTTCTGTACAATGCAGTGCGTAGCCTATTCAAATAAAATTGCATTGTCTTTCCTTATGTGTAGTGTGGGAGGAAGCATTCAGATCCTTTCCTGAAGAAAAGGTACTAATACCACAAATACCATAAATACTATAATTTATGAAGTGTAAAATAGTAAAAGTAGAAAAATGTCCCACTGATTGTTATATTATATAGTATATTATTAGATTATTATTACTTATGTTGTAAAACCCAGATTTTACTGTTGTAGTTGATTGAGGTGAAGCTCATTTTGAACTATAAATTACTGATTATTTTCATTATAGATTAACCTGCTGATATTTAATCGATTGATCAACAATCAATTGATTGTTTGGTTTGTAAAAACAAAGTGTAAGAAACGGCAGCAGCACTATTACCCAGAGCCCAAAGTGACAGGTTCACAATGTTTTCTTCAACCAATAGTACAAATTTCAAGATTATTACGATTATTTAAAGGACAAGATGCAAATCTGCTCACTTGTGAAGCTGGAACCATAAAATATTTGACAGGTTTGTGTAGGCTACAAAATGACAAACAATTATAAAAATACTTAGCCTCTGTATCGACTTAGCTTTAATATCTCATCATTTCAGAAGAATTTGTATTACATACTGGGTAGTGTAAGTTGAAAAAAAAACCATCCTGTTTTATAAGCACAACACGAACATGCAGTTCTTAGATTATATAAAGAAACTGCAGTCAGGTCTTTAGAAGGCCTGGAATGTTGTTAAATAGTACAGTAGGCTAATTCCCTCTGAATCTGTGGTGGAGAAGAAGTATTAAGTGGCATAAAAAAACAAAATATAGGTAATTTTAAAGTGGAGCATTTGAGTAAATGTATTTGAGTACATCCCACCACTGATGGCCCTCTGCCACTGTTGAGAAGGTTGCTTTTGAAATGTGATATGTTACAGATTACTAGCTACCCTGGTAAAGTGTAATAAGAAATGTAACTTTCAATTACCTAATCAAGGACATTTGGTTACTTTTTGAGTAGTTTTCTAACTGGAAATATGGTAAAAGGAAGGCATCATCCTGAATTGAATATACTTTGAGGTAACCCCTTGTAATCACCAACATTTTGATTAGTAGCTGTGATATGATAACATTTTTTCTTGGTCACTGTAACTGATTGCATTTACATTTATTTTGTAAATTAATCACATGCAACTTGCCCAAGACTGGGTTTTGCAGGACTTGAAATGTTGTAACACAGTTGAGAGTGACACATCTCTCACATATACGATCTCTGCTGCACCGCACAACGCCCTTCAGTTCCGCCCAAAAGGGAAATGACGCCGGTGCAGAAAATGGCGTCCGCAAAGCCTGTGGACCGCTGTGGTTTGTTACCCGTTTAATTTAGAGCCGAGTGGAGGATAGATGGACGATAACATGGCAGTGCAACGCTGCCGCCGCCCGCTTCCTTGATTCCGGAATCTAACCCGCAACTTCATGTCCGAAGGAGCCAGAGCTGCCTGGTCGAAGAGGGGTTGTGGGGATTCGCACCGCCGAGGTGAGACGGCTGGATTTTAGCCGCTAAGCTAAAGCTGTTACCCCGGCTGAGCAGTGTCTGCTCCCCCGTAGCTCCTGTCACCACAGCTGAGAATCGTGACAGTTAATTTGGCCAGTCACGTAGCTAGTTCTGGAGTGAAGTATTATTATATTTACTTCATAAACTTGATTCAAAGTATTAGCTAACACCACCGCCTTCATCAGAGAGCTGTGTGTGTACCGTGTAGCCTGAGCCTTTGTTTTGAAGATAAGATAAGCCTGTATTGATCCCCAGAGGGGAAATCCAGGTGTTGCAGCCGCACAAAGACAGAAAGAAGTATAGGTAAATACTAAATACTAAGACTAAATAAGATTTATGTTTAACAAGTATAAGAGTAGAAGTTAAAATATGAACTATGCAAGAGCAGTTAAATACAAAGTTGCTAGGTAGAGTGACACTGTATGGTTACTAGTATGAAGTCTAGTATCATGAAAACAGTGTACACCAGAATAATATCAACTGTAACTAAGCAATAATACGGAATGTTGTCTGTATTAACATAGCAAAACATAAATATAGTATACGATGTGGCGAGACAGTATAAAATATTGACAAAATAGTATAGTATGATAAGGGTTGCAATGATATGAGATTTTCTCGGTATGATAACCATCGCAGAATATATCGAGGTTTCACGTTATCACAGAGTTCGTGTTATTGTTATCATCATCATCATCATTTACAATGACCCCCAACGGAATCAAAACAGAAGGGTTATTTTTGGTTTAACAGTCATGCTATTAATAGAACTGAAACTTGAAACAAGTATACCGATGCAACCCTAAGTATGATGATGTAATATCCTACAGTATAAGGTATAAGATATAGTATAAGGTGCAATATAATAGTAGTAATAATGATGATATAACATGTCATGGTATAATATAGCAGTATAACAGTATATCAAATGTAATATGATATAGCATGTTCTGGGGTGGGTGAGAATCAGTACAGCATAGTATCATGATTTTTTTGTGTGGCAATATCGTATTAATACACGGACACCAAGTATCCATTTTTTGTTATTTAAATTTTTAATATTATAAATACAATTTGAACTTTTGGTAGACTACTAGAATAATTGAATCAATTGCTGTAACAGTCCACTTACTACATTTTGCTGCAATGAAAATGATTGAGGTGAGACTGAAACTAAGACTGAAAACTTCATTTTATTATATAGAACAGATGTTGACAAAGTTTTCTTTTAGGGACATAATGTGCAGCTTTAAAAAAAAAAAGTTATGAAATCGCGATATACTATAGTATGCGTTATTACAATACAATAGCACATCACAACACAGTTAAAAGTGTTATAATATTGTATTTTTACTTCATTATCATGATAATATATCATGGGGCCTCTGGTGATTTCCACCCCTAGTATTGTACACATATTAAAGTATAGTATGTAGTGGTGGATGAAGTATCTGAAAGACGCACTTGAGTAAAAGTACAGATTTCTTACCGGAAAATGACTTTGGTATAAGTTAAAGTTCCCCTATAAAAAAAGTCTTTAAGTATCTGATAGTTATGCATGTATGTATATATGTATGTATGTATCTGATAGCTGATAAAAGTACAAGCAAATGCTGTCAATAAAAAAGCAAATGGTCAGAATTTTGAGAATGATGAAGTTTATTTCTTCTTAATATGCACATCACCTTAAAAGGGATCATCCATTACACTTGAAGGAAAAAAGGTCTTTGTCACAATTTAAAGGATTTAAAGAAAATCTAACCTTTTCTTCCCTCCCAGACCGTCATTTGTCTGTCCATTCCTTCCTCCCTTCCTTCTCTATTATGTTGCAAGTAATGATGACGCTCAGGGGAAAGGTATTGGAGTATAGATATACATTTTATTTAGGGAAATATAGTGGAGTAGAAGTGAAAGTTGACAGAGATATAAAAACTGAAATAAAGTACAGATATTCCCAAAAAATACTATAAAGAAGTATTATTATTTAGTTATATTTCATCACTGAGGGTATGTATATTATATAATATCTTGAAATATAATGCATAGTAATACCAATGATAATAATATATTATAGTATAATATGTAAGGGTATCAAATATATGGCAAAAAATATAAATAAGTTGGTACAAAAGAGAGTCAGTGAGGGGAGAGTGATTTGTAACGAACTGTGATGTAGTGGCTGACAGCTAACTATACTATAAATTAGCTTAGCTGCTGGCTAAGTGATTGTAAAGCTTGTTGCCAGGTGCGCTCGGCTGCAGTGACAGACTCTGAGCAGACTGTCAACCTGTTGCTGTTTTTCCTTTTCACCAAGAGGCACACACAGGTTAGGTCAGTCAGACGGCGAGACCTCCTTAGACCAAGCTGCACTGAGATTTACACAAATCCTGGAAAGTGTGCCTGTTCTTTACAGAGTATAAAGGAGGTTCTCTTGTGAGACTCAACTTTTGCTACTTAATTTTACAGTTACATTTTTATACTGAGAACGAGAAGTACTGGGGATTCATGCTAAGGCAATAAGTTGATTTAGGTTGTTGTCAATTGAGAGATAAGCAGTAATAGCTTTTTTAATTGATGTATAATTGTAGTCTGATCTGGTTGCAACTCATAAATACTTGTAAAATATATGCCCATTGCTTGTATGTGTTTGATTATGTTAGTGTAACTTAAACCTATGGCTGCTGGTCAAATAAATTAACCGGAGTTGAGACAATTTGTCAGTTTAAAGATTAGTCAAGGTAAACAGAAAGTTACCAAGCAGCGATCAGTAAATTGTTTTAGTTTAGTTTTTTCAACCATAATGTCAAACATTTGCTGGTTTTCTTTGTCATACATGACGGCAAATTGATTAACTTTGGGTTTTGAACAAAACAAGACAAATTAAAATGTCATCTTGGGCTCTGAGAAATGGTGATGTGCACTATGTCACTATTTTTTTGACATTACATTGAATGCTTCATCAGTTAATTGAGACAATGTTCAACAGATGAATATATGCAAAAATAAACACATGTATGTTTGATCTGTTCATACATTTGTCACCAATTAACGTCATGATATCTAATTGCAGCCCTTCTGAGAAACATAGAATAGAAGAACATTTTCTTGTATTTTTGGAAAAGCATTTCAGCATTAACTCATGACATTTATGTTGCTGTGGACTGTCCTGACTGTATGTATCATAGCTGATATTTGAACTTGTGTGCTGTGAAATAGTTTGAGGTCACTGAATTTGTCAGGGCACACTTTATTTGATTCTGTCTTATTGATCTTCGTCTTTTCTCCTCTGTCAGAACCAGGGAAACATAAACACAGGAAATGCGAGCGGCCCCTTAGTGCTCAGCCGTCAAAGCCTGTGATTGTTCGCCCGGGCTCCAAAAGGTACGATTTGTCACTCTGCAGCACTGCATGGTAAACTGGAGCAAACCCCTCTTGTGTCACTTTTAAGTCAGAATCCATCTTACCCATCATTCCTCTCTCTCAACTCCACCTGATTCATTGTATTTTGGGCTGACAGGTTGGACGAATGGTTTGAGGTCAGAGCTCTTGGTCTGCACTGTCCCCATAGTGCTGATGGCTGTTATGAAGCTTAGTATTACCTTTTTGCACAGGGATGAGGGTCAAAGTATGATACAGCTACTGTCACTTTAACAAGTAAAGGATCTTAAAATGGATTTAAAGTAATCTATTAATAGAAAGTCATTAACTGAAAAATTAGTATTGTTTTTTATTGTTATTACAGTATTTACTTACTGTAGTACTTAAACTTCCATTTGGTCTCATTGAGTTTGACCCATTTTCCTGTCCCACTCTTTGAATAGTACAGAAACGTGTTTGTTTTCATATTCCTTCCTATATTTATTGTGGCCATGCTGCAGCCAGTAGCAGTGGAAATAGTTTTTGTTTGTTTTGATTATGATAAAAAAATAATTGCGATTAAATGATCATTGTGTCCCATTGTGTTTTCAGTAGGTTGCGGAAGTGCAACGTTACAACATAGTTGATCTTATTTATTTTGATATAATTAATATTTATTTATTTTTATATTATTTCTTTAAATGTGGATATATATTTATATATTAGTTTAATTTTATTTTATATGTATTTTTTTGTTTTTCATTTGAATTACATATAATGCTGAAGGAAATTTATTGTTAAAAAACGTTAGCGTTCAATAAATGGATGATGTTTCCAAAGTCAGTGACTAATTGTGGTAAATAATCATGATCTTAAATGTCCAGTATGTAAGATTCAGGGAGATTTAGTGGTGTCTAGCAGTGAGGCTTGCAAAATGCAATCAGCTGAAACTTCTCCCAGCTGGGATTCCTTCAGCTTTCATTGTTCAGGAGGTTTTTACCCGAGCTGAATTATCTGCAGAGGTGTGTTCCTCCCTAAAACACACAGACAAGGTGATTTAAACCAGTAAAAACACTGAATAAAGCCATTTAACATTAGAAAACCTTTGTTTTTCTGATGCTACTCCTCAGGAAGGGGCTGCTAACTACGGTGACTGAAGCAAATACTAGCAGGAACACGGGACATACCATCTCTTTTTCTGACTGTTTACATTATACCCACTTATCAGCCAAAAAGCCATTGGAATATATAGCAACGTATACTCTATACAATACCTTCTTGGTAACGTAGTGATCTACCTAATACTACACCCACCTTATCAACTACCACTACACCACTGTGGCTGATGCAAAATTGCAAATGTCCGTATCTAAAGCCAGTGTTTGGTTTGTCCATTCTGGGCTACTGTAGAAACATGGCTGTGCAACATTGCAATCTCCATAGTAAAGGACCCACTCCCCATGTAGGTATAAACAGCTCATTACAAGGTAACAGAAACACAGATTCTAATTTTCTAGGTGATTATACACTAAAGACACAAAACACACTGATTATATTATATTCCATTTCAACCAATGTATCCTCTAAATCCTACACACTGGACCTTTAATGTAAACCAAAAATAATTGTGATTATGATTCATGCCATACTCGTGCAGCCCTAATTCCAATTTATTACAGCAGGTTTTTTTTTTATAGTTTGGTCATCATTCGAATTGTTTATGGTAATATTGTACCAACCAATGTCAAAGCAGAGTAGAGGTCTGGGAACACAGACAGGTGAAGCCTCACAGCAGCCAGATTGTAAACAAACAGTTTATCCTGATGATCGAAAGCACTTCATTTGGAGGTCATTGCGTGCGTGCGTGTGTGCGTGCAAACTGTGATGGATGTTTACAACTGGCAGTGTTTTCCAAACAAGTCTGTAACCTGGAGGTCTGCTTCTCACCTGTCTGACTGCTAGTGTTTCTTAACTTCTTTTTAGTAATGTCAGTGTTCCCAGATCTCAGTTATTTGATTTTACTGATAAAAACAATGTATAAAACTATTTAAATATGATCCAAGTTGTAATAAAGTGGAATAATCCTTTAACTCTGACTTCATTAGGACATGATCTAACATTCATAACATCCATTTTAATAAATAAACTGGGAAAGTAGCCATGATGACTTTCCCTGCTATTAAAATTATATTTGCTACAGCTTTGTTTTGTTTTGTAATTAAATATGAGAAGGAAAGAAACTGCCTACTCGCCCATGTTGAAATACACAATAAGGCCAAAATTATGTGGACAGCGGACAACCTTGTCAACATGAGATGAACAATGAAACATGTGTTTATCGTTCAGGTGTCCACATACTTTTGGCCAAAGATATGTAACATGCACAGAAGTCCTTGTATGGCTGTTTTAAAATTGCAGTTTGCAGACATTCATGCTTTAATGTGGCGGTTGTGTTGGCTTTGTCGTCCAGGTGATTGACGCTCAGAAAAGGGATTGTTAGCATCTACTGGACACAAGGGGCACTGTCCTCTGATTGGCTCGGACAACCCCCTCTGACATGCCCGTGGCCAATCAGAGGTGAGTGTGCTGTGTGTATGTGTGTGTTTGTTTTCATTTGCATTGTTAATGAGTAACTGTGAGTTTGTGGGGGTGTGCAGATGATGTGTGTTTTCTACTCTTCCTTGTGTGCAGAATCTAAGTAAAATTATACGTAAGTTTTATGTGTGTGTGTGTGTGTGTGTGTGTGTGTGTGTGTGTGTGTGTGTGTGTCTGTGTTCGTGTGGTTACTTATTTTTCTCTTTGTGATTTCTGTGTGTGTGTGCGAGTGTGCGTGATGGTGTATTATGCTGAAGCAACTGGATGATGTTGCGGGGTGCTTTTTTAAAAAGGATTTCCTGTCTTTCTCTTTATTTTTACCCACCTCAGTGTGTTGCAGTGGAGCAGGTTATTTCCCCAGTGTTTCTTTGTAGGATGCAGCAGCTGAAGTGCTGAGCTTTTAATGCTGAACGCCCTTTTGAATGCCCTTCCAGTCACAGACTTACTTTATTCAGCTGTACACACATGAACATAATGTTTTCCTTGGAGAGACAGGCGGTGTTGTGCCTGCTGAATTCATTTTTGAATAGCTGTTAATTCTAGTTCATCCCTGCTTTATGTTCACACTGGACAGCTGTAGCAGAGTTCAGTGTTGTGACTTCACGGATCTGTTCTGACGCTCTATGATCTTTACCTCACCCTGTCTCCATCCCCCGCCTGCGCCTGCACTTGCACTTTGCCCTGCGTCATGCCTTCAGGTGTGTTATGTCGGGGGCAGATGTGGAGGTGTACCTGTCCCAGGTGCACGATGGGAGTGTGTCGTCGGGCTTCCGGGCGCTGTATGAGGAGCGTCTGCTGCTGGATGTCACACTGTTGATAGAGGAGCACCACTTCCAGGTATACAAATTAAGCTGCATGGTGTTTCATATCCCTAGACCAAGACTGTATGCTACATATCACTATCCTGCAGGGATGTCTCTGGGGAACTTGGACATTTCAGCTACAGATCTGCTTATACTTTTTTTTTTACAGGATTAACTCTGAGATGTAAATTCACTGGATGGTAGAAAATCATCTTAGCAACTTAAAGGCAATAAATTATGTTTTTTGTAATTTTACAGTTGGTTGGAGTCCTTATTTTAAAAGGAAACTTGAGTATTTTTGAATCTGGACCCTCCAACACAACTCACTCTTCCTGGCACTCCACTCTGTAAAGGCCCAGACACACCAAACCAAATTCAGAGAGCTAGTGGTAACGAAATCCTACTGCTGCATTGCTGTACGTCGCTTGTGTCTCGGCTAAAAAGTTGTACATAAACACACCGCAAAGACTACAGCCAACCAGCATGTACACTCTGTGCCTGTGTGAGATGAAATAACTCTCAGTCTTCACCAGCACACGGCTGTGGTCTGTTGTCGTCATTTAAAAAGGGAAATCGGAAGACCGTCTTGATACTAGTGAGCAAGTTAGCACCTAAACAACACTATACGGCGCTGAAAGAACAAAGCATATTTACTCTGCAAGAGTGAACAATAAAATAAACATCTCAAAACTTTTCTGCTGAAGAGCTCAATGACTAAAGAAAAACAATCTCACCTTATATAACAAGTTTGTCTCACTCCCTGTTGACTTGAGCTGTTTGTTAGCTTTCCTCACGATTCTCTCCTCGTGTGCTGAGCTGAACTGCCAGTCAGAGTGATTTCACTCACTGACAGTCTCCTTTGTTGTAGTCAACATGCTGAATTGGCTGGAAAAAATCAACAAGTTATTGTAGGGATCGTTTTCATAATGCTGTCAGACATTTCTCATCGTGATGTGAGCCTGTCAGTGGCAAATACAAACACTTTTAGTGAGCGCAAATTGACATTGCACAATCGCCACAATCACTGTCTCTTTATACTTGACCAATTTCAAAAACTGCTGTCTCCATTAGTCATTTAGACACAAAAGCATCTGAAAATAGGGCCCAGATTGAGAAATACCAGTTTCCCTTTAAAATTAGGACAGCAGGCAACTGTAAAATAACAAAATACACCTTTAATTCCCCACAACACATTCAAGTACAACATACTTATTTTTGTCTTTATTTATTTTGTTTTCTCTTGTATTTCCAGTGCATAAATCTTAGTAAACTTAGCAAAATAATGTAAAAAGGGTTGGTGTGATAAGCTATGGCTTCAGCCTACACTTTTTCAGTCGCATTAACTTGCTTTGGTTTGTCACTGTTTCAGAAGTAATGACTTATTTATAATTTATTTGTTGTTTCTCTTATGTGTATTTGAGTTGTTTAAGTTGAAAGCAACCGAAATAAACTCAACTAATATGAGCCAGGACTTTTTAAAGGAAAGGACCTTTTTTGTTTCTTAACAGCCACCCTGTACATTGCTAAGAATATTTTCTACCACCCTGTGAGTGTGTATTTGCAACATGCTTTGTGTAACAGATGTGCGACAGAAGTATCCAAAATATCCATGCAGGATAGTGTGTGCTAAATGTTTAATGTAGCAACAAACCGTTTACAGAGAATTGGTAAAAACTTATAACTGGAGAACTTCTGGCCTCAGTGAGCAACATCACTGCACTGTTGCTTATGTAAACCTGTGTCCATCTGTCTTATCCATCCTCCTTCAGGCCCACAAGGCGCTTCTGGCCACCCAGAGCGACTACTTTCGGGTCATGTTCACAGCAGACATGAGGGAGAGGGACCAGGACAAGATCCACATGAAGGGGCTGACAGCCGCTGGGTTCGGCCACATTCTCCGATTCATGTACTACGGCTCTCTGGAGCTCAGCATGCCCACCGTCCAAGAGATCCTTCAGGTAAGCTGCACACACCCACTGATGTCCTTTCTGGTTCTTCCCATATCATGCTTCCGCATCAGTTAAAATAGATGAAGTTTAACATGCTGCTGCTTCACAACAAAAGCATCAGCATTTCATGGTTCTTCACTTTAATAACATGCTCTCTCACATTCCTCCTCTTTTTCCTCCTCCTCCTCCGCCTCCTCTCACTTCCTGTCCCGGCAGGCGGCCATGTACGTCCAGCTGACGGAGGCGGTGGAGTTCTGCTGCTCCTTCCTGCTCGCCAAGATCTGTCTGGAGAACTGTGCCGAGGTCATGCGCCTCCTGGAGGACTTCAGTGTGGGTGTGGAGGGTGTCCAGGAGCAGCTCGACAACTTCCTGCTTGACAACTTTGTCCCCCTTATGAGCCGACCCGACTTCCTGTCCTACCTCAGCCTCGAGAGACTGCAGGTTCGGTTTCTGTTTGTACGCTGCATGCAGAAGAAAAGTTAAAACTATGAATACAAACTCAGTCAGTGTTGTTGTTAGATTAGATTCATTCTGACCATGATACACACTGAGAGGGACATTTTGTAGTCAAAAATTCTGTGTAAATGTTAATTTCAGGAGCCAACTCATGATTAAGTTCACAGCCAGAGTGCCTCCGATGTATTTTCAGACTGCCGGCCCATACCATGGACGTTGACACTGAATAAGCTGGACAGACATTACTTGTTATTCTTACAATGAGTCTTTTTCTCTCTATCTCTGAATCAGGCGTACCTGAACAGTGATGCTCTGAGTCGCTTCCCAGAAATTGAGCTGTATGAAGCTGTCCAGTCGTGGCTCCGACATGACCGGCGGCGCTGGAGGCACACTGACACCATTGTGCAGTCCATCCGCTTCTGCCTCATGACTCCTGCCAACATCTTTGAGAAGGTTACTTCTGCTTTCTGATGGTTTTCCTTTGTCCTGACAGGAGTCCACTGGTTTACTGATGTTGTCTCTGGTATTGGTCTTTTGTTGTCTTCGTCACAGGTGAAGACCTCAGAGTTTTACCGTTACTCCAGACAGCTGAGGCAGGAGGTAGATCAGGCGCTCAGCTACTTCCATGATGTCAACCAGCAGCCTCTGGTGGAGACGCGCTCCAACCGTATCCGCTCTGTGCGCCCGCAGACGGCTGTTTTCAGGGGAATGATCGGTCACAGTATGGTCAACAGCAAGATCCTGCTGCTGCAGCGCCCAAAGGTGTCTGCTCGTTTGTCTGCCTTCAAGAGCATGTGTGACTGCCTTTGGTATTCGTACCAAAACTGTCGTGCATTACAGCTTTGATCTATTTACATGGTGTGAAATCAGTATATGTTTGAATCCCTCAGGTGTGGTGGGAGCTGGAGGGACCTCAGGTGCCACTGCGACCAGACTGCCTGGCAATCGTTAACAACTTTGCCTTCCTGTTGGGTGGAGAGGAGCTGGGGCCTGACGGGGAGTTTCACGCCTCCTCCAAAGTCTACCGCTATGACCCCCGACAGAACTCCTGGCTACGGATGGCTGACATGTCTGTGCCCAGGTTAGAGGAGCCTGAGGCTCTTGGTGTTTGTAGGATTGTATAATCTGACCTGTCCTGTAACGTTTTTCACACAGCTGTGCAGTGAATGTCACATTATGTTAATTTCAGGAAGATTTTGCAGGCGCTCACTGTCACTTGATTAGAATTACTTATTAACGCATTGATACATATTGATGGTGTTTGTTGTTTGCAGGTCGGAGTTTGCTGTTGGCGTCATTGGCAAGTTTATTTATGCTGTAGCGGGCCGCACGCGAGATGAGACTTTCTATTCCACGGAGCGCTATGACATTACAGAGGACCGCTGGGAGTTTGTGGACCCATACCCTGTAAACAAGTATGGTCATGAGGGGACGGTCCTCAATGGTAAACTGTACATCACCGGTGGTATCACTTCCTCCTCCACCTCCAAACAGGTGTGTGTGTTTGATCCAGGGCGGGAGGCAGGAGGAGGCGGAGGAGGAGGCAGCTCAGGTGGGTCAGACGCACACAGGACACGCGCCAGCCGAGGCCCACTGCTGCCTGGCACCCATGCCAGCTGCTGGGAGAACAAATCCAAAATGAACTATGCCCGTTGCTTCCACAAGATGATCTCTCACAACGGGAAGCTGTACGTGTTCGGAGGAGTGTGCGTGATCCTGCGAGCTTCCTTTGAGTCGCAGGGCTGCCCATCCACCGAGGTGTATGACCCTGACACTGACGAGTGGACCATCCTTGCCTCCATGCCCATTGGGCGCAGCGGCCATGGGGTGGCAGTGTTGGACAGGCAGATCATGGTGCTGGGCGGCCTGTGTTACAACGGCCACTACAGTGACTCCATCCTCACCTTCGACCCTGATGAAAACAAATGGAAGGAGGACGAGTATCCCAGGATGCCTTGCAAACTGGACGGTCTGCAGGTGTGCAGTCTGCACTTCCCAGAGTATGTGCTAGAGCACGTCAGACGCTGCAGCTGAGGTCTGCTCCACAACAAGCCTCCTTTTTATAGAAATGGAAATGCACTGTTCAAGGCCTGAAGTCTCCCACTGGGAGAGCAGGTGTTTACAGGTGGGAGACTCGACTGATGCACAGGCTTTTCAACTAGAGACCAGCACTTACCTTAAGGTGAGGAAAAGATGGCGTGGGCCATACATTTGCTGTTCTTAATGAAGCCAGTCGAAGCGTGGCGTGGTGAGACGCCACATGTTAAAAGTCAGCTTGAACATTTTCAGAATTAGCTTTCTCAGAAAATCAAGGAAAATCATTTGTGGGGAGAAAAAAAGGTTTCATTTTGCTGGTTTATGTTTCAGACTGTGGTCAGTTTCCTATTCTACTACTCACTTACTGTATTTAGGCTGTCCAGTCAGGCTTATTGCAGAAACGCACTGGAAGCGTCAGATTCATGCATTTACAAAGGGACCTGTATTTATTTTACTTCACCAGTCTTCTCAGTCTAGTCTGAATTAGGTTTCTCTGCCTGCACCCTGAGATTTCATCGCGTTGATTAATCTATTTAAAGGCAAACAAACATTGTGTATAATGTTAATCAAGGTGCTTTTATTAAGAAATAGGTTAGTGAAAGCCAAAACTATTTCAAACAATCAGAAAATGCCCTATAAGATATATATCTGCAAGTTAAATCATACAATCAGGTATATAAAGACAATATTAACACTATATATACTGTAGTGTAGCTAATCTTATAGCCAAATATACGAAACAGATTCTAGACAAAGGCCATTAAACAGATACCATGTTGTTGCAGATGCTGCTGATGCTTCAATCTGCTACCAGCTGCAAACTGTCAGATTACTCATTCATATACTCGCTTCCAGTGCGTTCCAGCTTTTAGTCCTAATTCTGCTCTTTACTCCAGATATCCACCATACTGTGGTCATGTTCATATAACATCACTGTGTCTTTCTGTGTCCCTTCTTCTTCCTCTGATGTGTGTGAGAGAGAGAGCTGAATGATGGAGAGGAAAAAACATAACACTACATAGCACACGAGGGTTCATTTGTCATTCAGTGAGGATGTCATGATGGTGACTCCTACACAGCAGGTTTTTTTTTTTTTTGCATAGGAAGTAAAGATCTTTCTGTCAGAGCAGCTCTGTATCCGTCTCGTCACTGGCAGTGCTTTACTCTCATCTACATTCCCTGCACTTTGTTTTGGGCTCTTGTTGTGGCTCTTGGGTGTAAATGCACTGTTCTATCCTTTCAAACCAGCTGTAGTATTACAGCATGATGTTATCTTACAGGCATTTAGCAGTGTCTGAAATTAACCTCTGGCTGAGAAGTTAAGATGAACAAAAAATGCACCCACCATGAATTATACAGCTAGTTAAAATATTTAAGAAACATTGGGCCTCATTGTGGAGGAACATTTTCATTTTCTTATCCTAAACTGGAAAGGTTTCATTCACAAAAATGTTGCCAAAGAGTAGAGAGAAAACTTTCACACTGCGTAGCTTCAAGTCCTGCTCTTGGAAATGAGCAAACAAATGTAATTGTGTCAGTGTAGTGTTATTAAAGGATTACTTCATGTCCCAGATGATAATTCGTATGTTACTTTGAATTCATGAAGAAAACTTTGCATGCCTCCATGGTAAACAAGGGAGAAAATTCCTCATAATGGAAGTAAATGGGAACTGTCTTTAACAACAGCAAAACTATATCAAGACATCAACACTCACACAACTTGTGCAATAGTATCTAACTCATTTATCTACTTGTATGCTCAGTACTTCCCAAAAATAAATTTTTTTTCTAAAACCTCACTATTTATAACACTTTCCATAAAAGGTCTTATACATGGACCAGTAGCGTGCCTCCGCTGTTAATGCAGAAGTGTTTTAAATACTTAGGTTTTAGTAAAAATGCATGTTTTTGGGAAGTACTATACATGTGGATAAATAAGACTTGGATTATACTGCATGAGTTTGTAAATGGATGTCTTAATATAGTTTTGCTGTTGTTAAACGTGATCCCCGTTTACTTCAGTTCATGAAGAATGTTTGCCTTTTTTTTCCCATCTCTGTTCACCATGGAGGCATGTGAGAAAGGTTTATTTTATGAATTCAAGATAACACAGGGTCAGTAAGTGATATACAAATGGTCATTTGGATGAGTGATGTGTTCCTTTAAAGGACCTGGAACAGTTAGGAAGTATGTACTGTGACAGAAATAAAAAGTGAATAACTGAACTTGAGGCTAGATGCTAAATGATGTCTTTCTACAGCAAAGTGGTATATGACTAATATAAAAGGTGGTCACGAGGCCCATTGTTAATTTACATAAGGTTCAGGGTATTTCAATTTATGCTCTTTTACAACCAGTTGAGCTCAGTATAACAAAGACTTACCAGCTGTGATTGGGGTCATCCTTATGTTCCCAGGTTCCCTGTTGTTAAGGTACTGGTAAGGGCTATCTTTGCAGTTCAAATTGAAAAGAAAAGAATGAAGATGGACATTTCAAATGCACTTTGGTAAAAATCTGTTCAGCCACTGTGGAGATGTCAATGTCTAAAATCACGAAAACTGTTTTGCCTGCAAATTTGAGGGTGTGGGTTTCAAAGAGTGCAGACTCAACATATTGACCCATGGAAACCAACCCAATGCAACCCAAATAAATGTTGGCATTGTATGTTGCTGCAAACTACGGATGCGTTACATTTGTACTTTATTATGTAGCACCTACATTGAAACATAATTTTTCGACAACTCTGGTTAACACATGGTTAGGTTTTGGCCAAATATCTGGTATTGGTGGCACAATGCTGGCAAGATAGCAGAGTTGTCTTGGTAAGAAACAACTTCTTTTTGAAACACTATACCCACTGGAAACACAGCAATGGGTCCCTGAAAAACCCATGTTTGGGGACTGAAAAGCCACTGGAAACACAGCAATGACTCAATAAAAACAACAGGTTTTGATGTTTGTTGATCTCAAACAGTGGTCTGCAGATTGACAGGTGTCTGGCTTCTGTATTATGCTATCCACCATCCCCCCAGCCTTTGGAAACGTTGATATGATGCGTATGAATTGTTAAAATGTTATGCAGTGGTGGTTTGCAGGAACATACAATGCCAATATTTTCCTCTGGCGACTGCGTACATTAAAACATTGGACCAAGGGAAAAACATTGATGAGAACAGAAAAAGGTCTGCTTAAAGTGTCATATTAAGATATTAAGCTGGGCAACATAGGACCTTGGGAGCATTGATTTGCTTTCCTGTAAATGGTTCAAAAAAATTACCAGCCAGTGTTTCAGATATTTTTTACCAGTATGTCCACGAAAGCTGAAATTTTACCAGCATTTTGCAGTCATCTGTGTTAATTTCAGACATTGGAATGTCACCTGGAGTGCTTCAGTCATATTAGAAGAGTTATTCAGCAGATGCAGCATTTCTGTTGTTGTATGTACTGTGTAGCTTATTAAGCAGCCCAGCACCTTGATCCTGCAGCCCAGCAAGCCCTGCTCCGTTACCAGCCTGATGTTTCTGACCCTGTCCTCTCCAGATATTTATTTCTCCTTCATGAGCCAACTGTGAAAAGGGCTAGAGCACATACTGATGCAGTTCTGTCTGCCAGTCGTCTATTTAAGTTATTTATTTCTGAAGTATTGCTTACACCAAGCTATGCAGTAACAGTTGTAGGGTTATTTATTACAAGAATTTCATTGTGAATTGTGTTGGTTTCAAATTGTACTTTTGTCTCCTTTCCTTGTCTCATCCTCGGCCGTCTGTTGTGTCCACCTCAGCAGCACTGCATGTGGCTCATGAATGGATGCTTTGAGAACGCTCTTTCTTCCGATGTAAAGTGACAAGAAGGCTTAATAAGATCAGAAAGTCTGTAGTGGATGTTTACTTAACTAATGAACGGGTACAATTTAAAGAAGGGTACTGGTGTCATTTAAATTTACGGTCTGTTTATTGCTGTCTTTAGCAACAAACTGTATGCAATTTGTCATTCATCATGTCTTAAAAGACAAACTTGTTTGTGAGTGGCATGTTTTTTAAGGTATCATCCTTTAATTCATGCTCCTTTGTATCAACGATGTCCCTGCTGTCCACACACAAACCTCTCGAGTCCTGAGCCGCAGCTTTAATCTTCAACGCTTTGTGGCGCTGGTAGAACTCTTAGATTGTGTACGTTTCCCAACGTTAACGCCTCCACAGCTGTGAGAAGTTGTGTGTTTCACTGTGGACTTCATAATCCATCTTTGTTTTTCAAATGGGGAAATGTTTGACAGCGAAAAATGTTTTTAAGGAAATACAGTAAATACAGGAGGGATTTTTCTAATTGTTTATTTTCAAGAATTTAGAAAAATATCCAACATAATTCTCCGACGGCGATTAGCAGTCCAAAACTCATTATTTGCTGTCCTGTATGACTGAGACCCTTTTTACATGCTATAGGGCCGCTTTGAAGTCCCTTCTTCACGCTGCCTTTGCATTTTTACACAAAACCAAAAAATGGCAGCGTCATTCCTCTCCAGTGTGTGATTTTAGACTGTATTCTGGCATCGTGGAACCAAAAGAGGCATGACGAGAGTGACAGCGTCGGACTCTAGCGTGACATATAACAAACACGTCAGCAGTGCTTTATAAACAACAACAATGGCAATAACGATCATTTATCATCATTGTTTTATGGCAGCTGATCTCCTCTTCTGCCCGGAGGGTAAGGAGCTCCCAGACCTCATTGTTTTCCCAATTTGCGGACATTTTGGCTTCCCTTCTTCTTTGAGTTAGCTGCTAACTGCTATCACCTGGTTTTCAAATCTCCCACGGTGGGTTGCACACATAACACATTGTCAAAACATCACACCTATCCTGACTCTGGTTCCATCCTGTCGGTCGTCCCTTTTGCACAGACCCCTCGCTTAAAGGCGATACAACTCTCATTCCACTATCCAACCTTTTAAACAGAACAATGAGGCAACATAATGGCGTGACATTCCTGCCTTGAACAAGCATTGTAAAAGGGGCTTAAGAAAAGCAGCAGATCCTCAGATTTGAGGAGCTGGAACCAGCAAATGTTTGGTATTTTTGTTTGGACAGTGTCTGAAACAATTATTAGATTGTAAAAATAGTTGCAGATTAATTTTCTTTCAGTCAGCATATTGTTGCAGCTCTAATATGTAGCTATCACACTATAGCTGCACGGCAGTTTACAATTTTTTGTCATTTTGAACTAATGAAAGCCTGGTGCAGAAGCTGAATGAAAATAAGGAACACTGTAAATGGCAATTTTTGCTCTCAAACTGTATTTCCCCCAAACTACAAAACTTTTTTTTTTTTTTAACTTTTCAAACATGTTTTATTCCTTAAATTGGTTTATATCCTCTGTTTTTTCAGGTTCAGAACATTTCATGCCCAAAACCATTACTCATTAGGGTCTTTTATTCCTGTTTTTGTCCTTTTGTTTACCCTGGTCACCTCTTAATCGCAATTCCCAAACCTTTAGAAAAACCACTGAAGTGTCACATGTGATAAACACAGCAATGATCACACTGTCAGAGGCAGGTCAGGTTGGGAAACAAGCCTCTTTAACCCCATGTCCCTTTACGTCTCCTACTTGTTGCTGTACTCTGCAGCCAATATAAACATCCTACCTGCCATTCTGCAGTCCTCTCGCTGCTCCTCCTCCTCCTCCTCCTCCTCCTCTCATGTTGCTGTTAAAAGAAGAAATGTGTAACCGATAAAGTACTACTGTCCTGATTTATGGCACATTCAGTCATAGCACGGCATCCTTTAGTCCACCGGTCTTCAGTCTGTCAGTAGGAAAACAGAATAGAGGATTAAATAAAAAAAACATACCTTGCTGCAACGACTGTATCTGAAAAAGAAAGTAAAATCAGATTAACATATCTTATAATCTGAGTAGAAACTCTTTGGAAACGATTTGTAACTTCTTTCCAGAAATAAATGTTCATATTGGTCAACTTTCAGCTGACTGCTTGAGTGCTTTTATATCTGTCTTTGTGTGTTTCTGATTTTTCTTATGCTCATTTGTGACTTATTTCTGTTGGTCCCAGGACTTTTCTTAAGTAATTGATCAGTATTTGGAATTTTTCAAAACTAATAGTGTCTCTGCACACATAAATGCAGTCATGCAAAGGGAACCCCTGTATCAAATACCAAAGCATAACTGAAAATATTGTGATGACTTTAGCTGCATCTAATGATAATATTCATGTTGATTAATTCATCTGTTTATATTTAAATTATTTGATTAGTCTGAGAAGTGTCAGAAAAAAAATGGAAAAAGTCTCAACATAAGTTTCCAGAGTCCAAGGTGTTGTCTGACAATATTTTGTTTGAATTTTTATTTGATAAATGGCTGAAATTATATAAGAATATTTGCAGATTCATTTTCTGTATACTGACCACTGATACTGGATATTGATCACTGAGTCGCCTAATGTGTCAGCAGCTGTAATGACGGCAGTATAGTAAGTCAAGAGTAAAAACGTCAATATATTAAGTAAACTGTAAAACCGCAATATCATAGATAGGATGAATGGCATGACTATTTGTTATAATTTAATTTTTATTACTTTGAAGATTCTAATTCTGAGTTCAACCTGCCACACACACACACACACACACACACACACACACACACACACACACACACACACACACACACACACACACACACACACACACACCAACCTCGCGCATGCGCTCTTCAATGTGTCACACCCCTGGCTTGCCGTAGAAAAGCGAAAGTCTCCTGGACAAGGATGTCATATGTAAAACTGGTAACTATTCTTAACGATTGGCGCCTTTTTATTACCTTAAACTTTATGTACATATTAACCTGTGGTTGTCAAGTAGTGAAGCGTAGGCTTGTGGTGTGACATTTTATTTGAAAAAGATGTTCAGATTTTGCTAAATTAGTCAGCAGCTAATGTTAGCATGCTGCTAGCTGACAGGTCAGTTAGAAAGCAGATGCTCCCTGTACCTTTTTATTTAACGTGACGTTAAAATATATGTAATATTCCTCTGGTGGTTTGTAGTGTCTGAATTAGTATATTCATTGTATAAACTGACATTACAGCTTAATTAAGCGCTTTACTAGTTAGCTTTATCGTCGCTAGCAGTGTGTGTGTGTGTGTGTGTGTGTGTGTTCTGACGGTGTGTCGCCAGGTGTCGCTGTGTGTCGCAGCTCCGGGTCTTACGGGCCTGTTGAGCGGCTCGGTGCTGGCTGCCAGTGAGGGGAAGAAGAAGAGCTCTCAACCTGCTCTGAGCATCGATGAGGTGGGTTCAATTGACAAAGTAGGGAGACACGGTTAAGCATGACAGATCTTAGCAGTGGTGGAAGAAGTGTTCAGGTCCTTTACTTCAGTAAAAATACTAATTCCACACTGTGAAAATACTCCACTGCAAGTAAAGTTCTGCATTCAAAACCTGATATTAGCAGCAAAATGCATTTAAAGTAAAAATATGTATAGTCCCTTGAAAAGTTCCTCGTCGGTGTTTTCCTGTTCTATTTGATGTTTTTGGTGTAATATTACTGCTGCATTAATAATATAGATGTTTCGAGTTGTGCTTATTTTAACACCTTTATGTACCTTTGGGTAGTTTAATCTACAGCAGTGCATCATATTCTATAAGATCATCATATGTTTGTAGCGTGGCTGTCCTGTCAGAACTACGTATCTCTTAAAAGTCAACCTTTCATGGGGTCAGAAAAACAGCCCTGTTTTCAGCTTTGTGACAATGACTTGTCCAGCTGATCCAAGAGGGTTTTTAAAGAGTTTATTTAGCTTAAGAAGGATGAGAATTTTCTCAACACATAAAGGAACACTTAATTCGCACTTATCACAAGAATTGTAATACAACAGATCACTACTAATATTGCAATAATATAGCATTTCAAGGTTACCAGTGTCAGTGTTACCACTTTTTCAGATACCTGCAGGTCCAGAGCTTCGCCCAAAAGCAATTTTCACTCCACCAGTTGACTTGCTACACTACCTTTTAGATCTTAACCTGTATGGGGAGCATCTGATCTCCAAGGCACATACCCCAATTCAAAACATCAATCCCCTTACCTGAGCTGACAAAAAATTGTATGGGAAGAGGACATTGGGGAAGAACCTTCAGAGTAGACATGGACAGACAGCGTAGCGCATGTCCATAAGTCATTTCTCGGTATAAGACATAGATGTGCATCCACAAACTGCATTTTTTCTAAATGCTAGAGTAGTCAAAATATTTCCTACTGTAAACCCTGAATTTCCGAGATGTTGTCAAAGTAAACATTTTCAATTCACATATAAAAATAAGATAAGTGATATAGAATTTCAGATATACATTAAAAGAGCAAGTACACACACACACACACACACACACACACGCACACACACCATAATCATGCAGGGTATAAAGGGTATGGATAATTCAAACCATTTTATCGGTGCTTCTTCTATTTTATCTCTTTTATTCTTATGAAATGTCTTCTTAAACATTTGTATTATTGTTTCAGTGGTGCTCTAGTTTTGATTGTGTTAGACTGACACAGATACACTGCAAAGGAACACATTATTTTCCCCACAGACCAAACAAATAGAACTCTGAGTTCATGTCTGTTGAACTTTGATCTTTACACAGTCAATAGAAACGGTGTTGTTGGTGCATCTTCTGCTCTAAAAGAGAGACGTCATTATTCTTGCAGCGTATTATGGCTCGGTTTTGTAAAATCTTAAGTCACCACTAGACTGCAAACTGTTTAGGTTATGATAAATTAGTCGATACCTGCTTAGTATTTATTTACTATCTAAGTCAGACCTGTGACAACACTTTTTTTTTTCAGTCTTCGCTGTTGGGCAATTTCAGTGGATCAAACGCAATTGTGATTATGGCTTAACACTGATTCTCACCTTGTTATTGTTTTTTTGTTTCAGCTGCCGTCGTTGTACACCAGCCCTGAGTCAGAGTCTCGGTATGCGGAGCCAGAGGCCGGGCCGCTGGAGCAGAGCGTGTCATCGTTGAGGAAATTGGCAGAACCATACACGAACCAATGCCAGGTGTATCTGTATCTGTATCTCTCACTCCCTGGCACAAACATGTCAACAAAGAGATTTAATGATAGCTTAACACTTGGGTGTGGGCTGTGCTGAAACATATTATTCAGAATTCAAGCCATGTGGGATTAAGGGTGGAGATGCTCAGTCTCTGTTTCTGTTTCACTTAACGTGAAATAGTTAGAAAGGTGATCAGGCCCTTGGGGAATTTTAAGGTCACAGATATAAGCAATAGCTTAACCAAGTAAGTTTGTATTGTTACACATGGAAATTTGACCAAAAAAGTACAGTCAATCTTTGCTAAATTAGTCAACAGATGATGTTAGCCCGTTACTATGCAAATCCTCTTTTTCCCTCTTTTTCCCTCTTTATATAAACGTCCAGTGTGTAAGATTTAGGGGGATTGATTGCAACTAACTGAAACTTCTCCCGGTCAGAGTTTTTTAACAGGAGCCAAATTATTTGCAGAGGTCTCTTACTCTCCAGAACAAATGGACCAGGTGATTAAAACCGGTAAAAACACTGAATAAAGCAGTTTCACATTACACGTTAGTTCTGCTACTCTGTATAGCTTGTCAGAGACAGGCCACCAGCCTAGCACCTGCTAATGTGTGCTAACTGTTTTTTTTCTCTGAAAATACAAGAACCAGATGTTCAGGGGGGGTTTATCTACAAAACATTATCCTCAGAGGTCTCCTCTTCTCCAAAACAAACAGAACAGGTGATTCAAACTGGTAAAAACTCTGAATAAAGCAGTTTCATGTAATTAAAAAAAAAAAAGTTTTTCCAACAGCTTCCACCTATTTTACAACACAAAAGTTTTAAAATTTCTGAGTGGGGTATGTACTGATGTATTTCATGTCGTAGAACATGAACTCATTCTTGGTGCACTGTATTTCGACCAATATTTCCCCCTAAATCCTACACACCGGACCTTTAATATTAACGTGACGTTAAAGTGTGGGTGTCAAAAGTGGAAGGTGTGCTCATGTCTGATACTCACAAGCTTAAAAGTGTCAATATGGAATTTTAATAATAGCTTAACAAATACTTTTAAGAGATTCCAAACCCTGATTGTGGGAATTATCACTCCCAAACTCAAGTCAAGTATAACCTCCTTAAAGGACAACTTCGGTATTTTTCAACCTGGGCTCTATTTCCCCATGTGTATGTGTGCGTATGATTCATAGGTACGACTCGTACTAAAATTGGTTCAGTATTGAGGGAGGCGGATGCAACCAGAGCCGCGAAACGAGCTAAAACGGTAACGGGGGCAAATGCGTCCCGTATAAGTTTGTGCATTAAAAGTGCTTTTGTCGCCACTGACCAGTTCAGATCACCAGTGCTATCTCTGTAAATAGCATACTAAGCATTTCGAACATTGTTTATATAACATTACCTCCACTGTGTCTGTAGCTCTCTCTACTCGTGGGACAGCAGTTTTCTTGAGGAAGAGGTGTTTCGGGATTGGATGTCTTCTCTTCTTCGGCTGGCAGTAGTCATCTTGGGAGAAGTGAGCACTGCAGACCTGATGGTCTGCAAGGCGCAGTGTCTGGACAGGAGTGTTAGCATCCATTTGTAGCACAACTAGCCACAACTTCAGCATCTCGCCATCCGACAAAGGCGGCCTATGAAAGCTGTACGGGGTGTTGCGCGACATCCTGTTCTTGCAATTCGGATAAGCACAAACACGAAGCATTGTTTTTAATCGATGCAGTAAAACTCTCAACTGTACTCTGGGACAACCAGCGCCACTCGGAGCGTCACTCTGCATGGCTCCTGTGTTTTCTTCCGGCAACAAGCAAAGCTCTAGTGAGATGATGTCACAGCCAGGAGGAGGTGAAGGGTCAGGGAAACGCTTAGTATGCTATCTACAGGGATAGCACTGGCAATCTGAACTGGTCAGTGGCGAAAAAAAAAGCACTTTTAATGCGCAAACTTATACGGGATGCATTTGCCCCCGTTACCGTTATAGCTCGTTTCGTGGCTCCCGGTTGCATCCGCCTCCCTCAATACTGAACCAATTTTAGCACGAGTTATACCTATGAATCATACGCACACATACACATGGGGAAATAGGGCCCAGGTTGAAAAATCCCGAAGTTACCCTTTGAGTACCATTAATTGAGCCACACCTAAACATAATCATTCCAAAGCTTAATCAAAACAATAACAAGTTATTTTAATCCTGTGTTGCAAGTGAAAGAAAAACAATTCGTATGGGTCCAATTCACATCCACTGTCTGAATCTGTCGGCCCCTCGGGGCTCTTAGTACAAATATTGTCCAGCTGAGATCAACCTTTTGATTTTGTGGAAGAATTGTCACATTTCTGAACTGAATCCCAAACTGTCCTCCATATATTCTTCCTGGATCTTCAGCAGCTCAACAGCTCTTAAGATTTCATTACTGATGTGAGATGTCAGTGTTTTTGGTCAGCTGTCCTGACTTCCTGCCATCACTGCAGAAAATATAATCACATGAGTTGAGAGCAAAGCAGCTGATGCACGTTTGTCACCTTTATTTCCAGAATAATGACACACAAGAGCAACAAGTTGTGCAACAAGTTGATGTGAAACATGTATTATTATTACCAGTTGGAATTAGATGTCTTTAGATTTGTTTTTGTTATGCTGGTGCTTAGAGCTGAGGGCTTAAGGCCTAAAGTTGAATACACACCTAATTAAAAATTTTTACATATAATGACATTTTATTCTTCCATATGAGACACTCATAGACGGTGTTTATTGTTTTTCTTTGCCTTTATTTTGCGTTATTGCTGTTATGCGGTAGTCACAGAATGTGAAGAATGTGAACAAATTTTAAAATAGTCCTATTTCAGCATGCAGTTTGGTGTAACAGTCTGTGTGATGCAAAGACATATCTAGTGTACATCTGTTTGGGTTCAGTGTCCGGTCTGTTCTGCTTCTCTGATCCAGCAGGACTTAACACTCTTCTGATTCTCATTATATTCAGGCCTACAGGAAAGCATGGACTATTTTCGATGCTGAATTCTGTCCGAGGAAACATAAAAAAAAGCTGTTTTGGAAAGACTAAATCAGGCATTTGACCCTTTAACCAAAGAAGGAAAAATACACATTGTTTTATTCTGTCTTGGCAAAAGGTAACATGCTGTATAAATAAATTAACTGTCTGTGTGTCTATGTCTGTGTGTGTCTGTGTGTTTGTGTGTGTGTTGCAGAAAACAGGCCAGGCTGCAATGGAGAAAGTTGAGGTACTGTTATATTTTTTACTTTCTGTCATGTGTAACTGTTGTGTTGTTGCTGTTTGGGCTGTTGGGAAAAAGAGGGTCACTTCACATTGACATATTTGACTGTTTGATAACTACAACACTACAACTTACTGTCACCTCACTTTGACAGCCACCACAAAAACGTGTCCAAACCATCTGTGACAAAGCTGTGTGCTTTTTCCTTTCACTTGCAATTTGATAATATGTTGTTTATTTTTACACAGCATCTGTGGTAGAGCCCAGCCCAGGGCCCTTTGCTGCATGTCATCCCCTCTCTCCCCTGCCTTTCCTGTTTCTCTCTCACTATCTCATAAGCAGAAATACAAAAAAAAAATCACAGGTTTTCTGCTTCTTCTAAAGAAAACCTCTGTCCCAATGAAAGCGCAAAAACACAACTGAAGCACTGTAAAGAGCATGCTAAACCAACAGGAGATGATATAACCCTAACACTAAAACCATGTTGGCCAAAGCAGAGAAGAAGAAGAAGGTCTTGGCCTCCTGGAGCAGTGACCTCTGTAGCTCACTCTGGCACCTCTCTTCCTCAGTATAGTGATAAAGTAACTGTACATTAATGTGTAAAAATATTTAAAGTCCTGTTTGTAAGGTTTGAGCCAGCATTTTGGATTGCTTGAAATATCGTCTTATTTGTGACAGCTTACAAAGGAGGTAATGGTGCACACTCTGATGTCGCAAGCTTTAACTTTCTACATGTCAACACACTAAAATCTTCACCCTGGAAGGAGTTTTATGAGGCCCGTTCTGTGTGCTTTAAGATGCAGTCAGTATGTGGACAAAAGGCCAAAAGGCATAGAAAAAAAATGAGCACAGTGTTAGTTCAGGCAGGACATGATGTCAAGCTCAGCTCACATTCCAGCTACATCAGCTGGTCTCAAACAGCCAAATCAACTGATGGAGCAGCTGATTGATCACATGATTCCTTTCTATGCAACCAATTGGCAAATGTCATTCAGGGCACCCTATTACTGTTGTTGCTTCCTCAGCAAGCTGCTTTGCAACCCGCCTCTACGTGTGTGTCTGATTTATCAGTCATTTCTGTTTGTCATTGATGCTGCTCTGTTCTGATCCATGGGGGTCTTTGCTGCTGCTCTCCCTAAAGGCCAAAACACACCGGCGAGTCAAGTGCCGCCCCCAACACACACAAAAAGTGTCGCGCTGCGGGGCGTCAACCGGATTTCTATTGCACACTCCAGTCCGCTAGGCTGGGAAGTACAAAATAGCGCTTTTTCAAGGGCGGTGACGTTGGAAAAATAGGACAATAGTAAAGTGCTGCGGCCCGTTGACGCGTCTCTGCCCCAGGCTTTCCTCGTTTGCGCATGGAAGGGCAGAGAGGTGTGCTCTCCCTGCCTTAGGCTTTCTGTGTAGGCCAGAGAGGCCCCAGAACAGAGCCATACTGCCAAATAAAATACTGCAAATGTCAATAAAGTTTTCTTTGACTAAAGTGGGTTTTGTGTGAACACGTGAACTGGGCATTAGGTTGAGGTGTCAGTCCAGTTTAAGATTAAACCTACAATCTAAACCTCATAGCCCTGTGAACACATTGAGCAAACTATTCTGCAGACAGTAGAGTGATTCTTTGCAAAATAAAAGAGCTATGTAAAGATGTAAGAGACAGATAAATGTTCTTTTATTGCCCATTATGAATAAGTAAGTACATGTGGCTCTGTAGTCTGAATAAAGGCTATAATCACATGAAAGTAACTCTCTCTCTCTCTCTCTCTCCTTTTGTGATCTTTGGACCACAGGAAGTATACAAGACCATGGAACCCACAATCAGCACCTCAATAACAACAGTCACAGGTGAGAAAACACACTGGGCCTCATTCACCAACTGTTCATAAGAAGAAATTTCCTCTCAAAACCCAAACCCAAGAAGATTCTGACATTCACAAATGTTTTCTTATTTGGGATAAGGTAAGAACATAGTCTATGCACTTTTCTTGCTGATGTATTTGTGCAGAATAATACAGTTGTGTAATGATATAGGATATACAGATATGCAATGTTACAATAATATTTTCATAATTTTTAGGTTTTTTTGTAAGTTAACTTACAGAAACATTGCTTGAGTCCACCCTCATCTTATCTCCTCCTCACTCTGTGTCTCTCTGAACACACACACACACACACACACCAGAACCTGAAGAATAAAAAAAAATGCTATGCTAGACCTATAAACAAACTTTAATGTGTAAAATTGGTGGAATACCACTTAAAAGACATCAACAGGTGACTCCACTGTTGTTTTCATATAGTTTACAACCTGTTAGCCATCTTCACTCAATGGCTTCCCCCCTTGTTCAATTTTCAGATGTGTACCAGTTCCTCAGTGACCCTCCTCCTGACCTCTACCCCAGTGTAGCAGTGGTGGGCTTCTCTGGCTTCCTTGGACTTTATTTGGCCAAAGGTAAACACACACACACACACACACACTGACCTGCACTCCCTCACAGAGGCAAATCAGGTCAGAGGCGGCAGAAGGACTGATAAAGAGAAAGCAGGAAGGGACAGAAAAATCAAACCTGTAAAAAATCAAAGCTGTAAAATGACTCAGGGTCACTTCAGTTTAGGTGTGTGTGTGTGTGTGTGTGTGTGTGTGTGTGTGTGTGTGTGTGTGTGTGAGAGTGAGAACATCTATGAACTTTGAAAAGAGTGCTATTTTCTCAGTTTACATCAGTCTGCCAGCCCTGCTGTTAATCAAGTTTACATTCCTGTGGTTCGCAGAATGACGTCCATTTCAGTAATGAAAACATTATAAATCGTTTTTGGGTGTGTCAGTAATCCCTGGCATGTTGCAGCATTGGATTCTAATCTTTAAATTCTTAAGTGGGTGTTTAAATCCGTCTATGTGCCTCTGCTTGCATAACATTTCTCCTTGTATGATTGTTGAACATTGGTGCTAGATGACCTCAAACTGTGGTTCGATACAGGAGAGTTGGAAGGGAGGTGAAGTGGGAGAGGTGAAGCAAATGTATTGTGTGAGGTGAAAGAGACAGGTGCGATTAGTCCATGAAACAAATAGTCGATCAACAGGGAAAAAAATTGCCTATTTACTTGTTAATCTTTCACTATTTTCTGACACTTTTAGACCAAACGATTAATCATCTAATCTAGACTATAATCTGCAGATTAATCAATAATTAAAATAATATCTAGTTGCAGTCCTATTATCAACATCTTTGGCACTGCAGCAGCAACAGCTGTGGAGGTTATTGAGGTCCGTGTAAAACACTTTGCCCCAGATTGCAGCATTTCGCATCATAATTTGCACTCCTGCTCAGCTCCATCTACAATGCATTAACTCGGATGTCCAATGAAAATAAAAGTCCATGAAGATGCTCCTTAGAGTTTCAGAACTTCCCTGTGGATTATTACATTTTAAGTTTGCAGTTTTGTCAAAAACTGCAAGCCTTAAAGTTTCGTGAAGTACCCATATGTGCAGGTCTGATCTATTGGCATAGGCAGCTAGTGGGAAGTGCGTGCTCAACAGTGTATGACTGTGTTGCTTTATAGGCCTACTCATCTTAAACTACTCAAATAAAGTCATGGAAATAGGATGAAATATTACCAAAAAGTTATGGAAAGGTTTTGCAAATTCATAGGTAAAAATGTGTAGGAACCCCGATAAAATGTGAGTAAAGTAAGGGTGAGGAAACTTTTAACTCCGATGCCTGTGGAAACATCTTTCTGTTTCAGGTTCCAGGGTGAAGCAGCTGGTATTTCCAGTTGGACTCATGGCTCTGAGTGCCTCCATGTTTTACCCTCAGCAGGCTGCGTCTTTACTTAAGGTGTGTATGGTTGTTATTGTGTTGTATCATCTCCTAACTGCAGTATTACAGAGCAGAAACAGAATGCACTGAACATGTGTGTGGTTGTCACATTGAGTCCTGTGGTAACAAGAGAACTGCATTCATTAAATTCCTGTTTTGTAAATAGATCTTCATATACATCATGGTTACATGTGAGTAAAGCTTCCCATCAAACGGTGTCAAGCAGCATGGTTATACACAACTTAATAATTTAGAGTTGTTCCCTAAATTAGCCCTGCAAGAAATGTTATTTTCTAGATAAGATAAAGATAAGAAATCCAGATGTGTTTTTATTAAGTTGCTGTTTGGTAGCAGTTAAAAATCACCAGTGGAATAATAACTTGCACACCAGCAGTTTAGTTAAAATAGTGTAGCCATAAAGGTCTTGTGTGTTAAAACAAACAGACCCAATGATTTAAACCAGTAAAAAAACTGAATGAAGCAGTTTCACATTGAACAAAAAATGTTTTTTCAACACTGCTCATCATGGAGGGGCTGCCAACTGTGGTGGCTGATGCCAAAATGCGAATGCCCCTATCAAGAGCCAGTGTTTGGTTTGTCTGTTCTGGGCTTCTGTTGAGACATGGCAGTGCAACATGACGATATCCATAGACAAGGACTCACCCCCTTTGTAGATATATAAACGTCTCACTCTAAGGTAACAAAATCACAAGGATTCTTATTTTCAGGTGATTATACACTAAAGAAAACATACTTATTATAATATATTCCATTATGCCAGTACATCCCCCTAAATCCCACACACTGGACCTTTCAAGGTACTGTGCAGGAATCATCCATTACGGTTGGTAAACAGTAAGGCAAGCTAAAGAGAGAGCTTGAATGGGGCGATTCAAGCGTGAATGGGGTATAGCTAGTTGTTTGTATACCACCATATGTTGACACAACAAATGTTTGCTGTTCCTTGAACTCTTTGAGATGTTGGTTTCAGATGTTGTGTGCACCAGTAACGTTGTTGGACTTTGCACCTCACCAGTGCAGCTGGATATAGTTTAAAGTTTGTAAATGTAACAACAACACCACTGCTCTGGACCTTTTATACGTATCTGCAATGCATGTTAAAGAAAAAGATGTCTTAAATCTGGTTAAACAATCTTATAAAGGTCTTAAAATCATCAAATGTATTTGTCTGATACCTGTAATTACCCTGATCTTTAATTTGACCTCTTAATGTTGTTATATTTGTCCAATTGAGTTAGTATTTACGCAACAGGACATCACAGCTCTTCTCTGACAAGTCAGCAAAAACTTCAATATGACGGAGAGGAAAGATTTAACCTCTGCATCTGTTCTCACCTTTTTAATTAACCTTACTCTCAAAATATGCACAGGAAACAGCTGTGGAAGCAGGAACAGTGACATAAATTGCTTTATTTTCTTTTTAGGTACAAATGATTACTGGTTGGTGTTTTTTGGGCACCAGTGAGCCCATTTTACTTAACGGAAAATCCCAGCCTTGCCCTGTAAACTGTATCACTGCGGCTCAGACGGACATCACGTAGATGAAAACTTTCCAGGCAGGTCTCATGCATTAGTCAATGTTGTATGTGACTCGTTTCCTGTTAGGAAAGGGTTGTGCTTTCCTGCAGGAAGTCCTGGCTGTGAATTGAGTTTCTCATTCCCACTGATGTCTGGGTCATTTTATTTACTGTATTTTCAGCCAGCGAGCCAACAGGCAGGAACACCCCCTCAGACACACTGATACATCAAGAGACACACCCTAATGTGTTCACACTTGAGCTCACACCACATGCAGAGATGAAACGGACAAGCAGGGCAGGGTGCAGATATGAAAACATATGAGCTGACAAGATAAAAGGAAATGTTGAGCCCTTGTTTGCACGTCAAAAGATTTCTTTCAAATTTGTGGGATGTGTATAAAAACCAGTTAATTTAAAGTTTAAATTCTGAAACAGTCTCATTCTAAAACAGCCATATTGTACATTTTTTAATCATATTTTTTTAAATATTTTTTGCATATTTCATTGTATTATTTTAAGTCTGTATGTTTTTGACTTTTGCAGTACTTAGCATTTATTTTTATTTCCTTTTAATATGTTAATTTTATACACTAAACACCAAGGCAGATGACTTGTAAGTGAAAACCTACTTGGCAATAAACATGATTTTGATGCTGAAATATCTAAAAAAAAAAAAAAAAAAAAAAAAAATATGGGAAAAGCTGCAAGCCCATAACCCAGTAGTCTGCATTATGTTTTCAGGTTGTACGTTTGTCTCATTTGCATGAATGCGATATCTCAAGAGCAGCTATAGGAAATGTCTTCAGATTTGGCACAAATGTCCACTTGGACTCAACAATGAACTGATTAGTTTTTGGTGGTCTTTTGTTCAAAGGTCAAGGTCACTTAATTGGTGACCTCCTTTGTCCCTTTCTCGTGAATCTGATATCTCAATAATTCTTTTGGGGATTTCTTCAAATTTGGTTAAAACGTTCACTTGGACTCAACAATGAACTGATGGGAATTTGGTGATCGAAGGTCAAGGTCACTGTAACCTTATGTCTGTCTCATTCTTGTGAACATGATATCTCAAACAGACCTTGAGGGAATTTCTTCAAATTTGGCACAAACATTTACTTGGACTGAAGAATAAACTAATTGGAATTTGGTGGTCGAACATCAATGGTCAAGGTCAATGTGACCTCACAAAACATGTTTTTGGGCATGACTCAAGAATTCCTATGCTAATTGACAAAACTTTACACAAATGTCTAACAGGATAAAATTATGACATTTTATATCCTAAAGGTCAAAATTCACCTTCACTGTGACATTGTAATGTTCTGCATAAAACACTTTTCTGTGTCATCCACATTTGAGGCAGTGTTAACAGTCATGGCTACATATGAGTCTAGACAGACATAGATTAAACTGTAACTGCAATTTGACTGGTTTGTGCAGGCATATAACCGCAAGGTGGTAATTCTAGTTTTGGTGTAAAGTGATCCAGCGCCTATACTCTAAAGCTAACACAGTGTGGCTCACAACGTTAAAAGCAAAGAAGACTTCAGTCATGGCTTAAAGTCTGCTTAGTTAACCTTTGACTTGTTAGTGTTATGGAAAGACAGTTACAAAAGAGGAAGTGTGCAGGAGGGAACAATATTAATATTGTCTTTGTTGAGATTTACTCTAAAACTTTGGAAGTACTTACTGGTCAGTGCGTACTTCCAAAGTTTTAGAGTAAATCTCAACAAAGACAATATTAATATTGTTCCCTCCTGCACACTTCCTCGTTTGTAAATGTCTTTAAATTAATGTTGGTTAAACACTTGTTAGACACTAAATTATGATCTGACTATCAGTCTTAATCACTTGTGATTGGCTGACTAATTGGGCATCAATGTGTGCGCTTCACTAATGCTTATTTTTCATGCTTTCACCAGGTGAGTCGTGATTCAGCGTACACCTGGGCTCAGCAGGGCAGCACCACCCTGGAGACTCTTTGGAAAGAGCCTCCATTTGGCAAAAAGAAGGTGAGTCTTAGTGTTTTTAATCAGTACTGAGTTTTATCAGCATTGTGTATATTGATGTTAACGGTTAATCATACCGGCTATTCTGACTTTTTTGTCTTTTCTTTTTTTCCTTGGAGAAGAAAGAGCGAACAGATAGTGATGACACGACCAGCTGAGACAGCTGGAAGAAGACACACACTTGGGAGACTTCAACCTTTCAGTAACACACACTCACACGTGTACGACTAGATGCATCATTCACACACAACCCAACTCCCACAGCCACAAATCAGGACTTAATTATTTAAGTTATATATCCCACAAACTTAGGGGTCTAAGTGGGGTTAGGGTTAGGGGTTAGGGTTAGGTGTTTCTGAAACCTTTTCGGCCTCCTCTAGAGTCATTCTGAAACACACCATCTCTTCCAGGAAGCAGGTCACATCTGTCCATATTCTGGTTTTCAAGATAACTCTGTGAAATCTGCTTCTTGAAACAGTCCTCCTCTGCTCTAATCATTCCTAGTTCCTCCCACCATGACGTCAGCTCCTCTAATTTCTGCTTTGCTCAACAAAACACATCATAGAGCCTAGTTTCTGCAGTGTTTGCTCTCTCATGGGAGGCACACTATGATGTCTCCCACCAACACTTCCTCATTCTTTTATTTTTGAAAGCTGCACAACACAGCTTCACAGACTGGCACAGAGAAATGGGAAATTGTTACAACTCAGTGATTAGAAGAATCATCATTTATTTGATTGACAGAAAATATATCTGCAACTATGTTGATGATCAATTAATCATTGAGTCTTTTTTTGAGAAAAAAATGCCAAATGTTTGACACTTCCTGCCTCTTGCCTCTTTCTTTATATCAAACTGAATATCTTTGGGTTCTGGACTGTTTGAAAAAGTCAGCATCAACATTTTTTATATTCCTTTTGTGGACCAAATGATTCATCAATGAATAACAAAAAGAAATCAGCAAATTACTGATAATGAAAATAATTGTAAGTTGCAGCACTACAGGGAGCATAACCAGTGGTTTTGAAGGTAATAGAAAGATCTCCTACCTTTACTACTTCATCTGTTTGCAAGTAGAATATCTCAAACTGTGTGATACAATACTGTGATGCAGTAGGACATCTTGGTATTTTGGTATACTGCATTTGATGCACTATGTATTGGGACATACTGAATCTTTTTCTGTCATACTAAATAGTAACACACTGTCAGTTAAATTCTTGTTGAAGGATTAGAGGAGAAGATCAATACCACTCTCATGTCTGTATAGTAGATATAAATCTTAAGCCAGCAGCTAGTTAGCTTAGCTTAGCATAAAGACTGGAAATGGGGAAACAGCTAGCCTGGCTCTGTCCAAAGGTAATAAAATCCATCTGCATGCATGTCAAAAGTTCACTGATTAGCACGTTATATCCTTTTTGTTTAATCTGTTCAAAATAAGGGTTATGTGTCAGACTAATTTGGGGCTGGGACCAGTAACTTCCTGTAGTTTCAGCTGGTTGGCGGGCAACCTCATGGTGACGATAAGTCTCCTGGTTGAAAATGTGTTAACTGGTGAGCTTCAGAGGTGCTGGTTGGTGGATTTTGTTACCAGCTGCTGTTTCATATTTACTTCAAAGACTTGAGAGTACATCGCTCTTCTCATCTAACTCTTGGGAAGAAAGCTTTTTTTTCCCCAAAATCAAGATGTATTCCTTTGTGTGTTTTCTCTGAATTATAAAGTGTCATTTTGTTATCCACATTTTATAATGTCAGGACAGCTGTGAAGATCCAATATCTTCAATCTTGTTTAGGATCAAGTCAGTATAGAGCAGCTCAAAAAGATCTAATGTTGCTATCTTATGAAAACCAAGTGTTTCATCTTTTCTTTGGTGCCACTGTGATCAAATGCAGCTTTCAACAGTATAGTATCTCCAGGAAGATCATTCAAGGTGTTCATACAAACTCACTCTCACTCACTCATTGTTTGTTTCAAATATGTTGACATATTAATTTTCCAGATATATTCACGTTGCAGTTTGATGCTAATAATACTACGATGCTACAGTAAAGGGCCAAATACTGTGTGTACTCAGGCTGGATTTACTTAATAATGAACCGAATGTGTTTGTTGTCCATGTCTAATAATACTGCACTGTATATTCTGTATATGATTTTATCTGAACACAATGTAATTAAATCTGGCATCCTACTGAGACGACCTTCTCTTCATTCGTCTATAACCAAACACACTTGAAGAATGAATATTTATCAGTCTAGATTGTTTTGCTATGAGTTGCTGAGTGTTGGATGTATCAGCCGTGGAGATGTCTGCCTTCTCTCCAATATAATGGAACTAGATGGCACTCGGCTCGTGGTGCTCAAAGCGCCAAAAAAATACATTTGAAAAACTCAACAACAATGTCTCTTTCCAGAAATCATGACCCAATTACTCAAGATAATCCACAGACCTTGTTGTGAGCAGTTTCATGTAGGAACTACTGTCTCTCTACTGAACTACATCTGCCAACCTTATCACTGTGCAGAAGGAAGGGTGTGTCTATTCATAGATGAGAGGCTCGTGTTCGTGACAATGTGAGATGGAAACATTAATGGCGTAGTCCTCAGCTGAGCTCTAACGATAGCTAGTTCAGTTGTGCTAGGTGAGCTAGCAGTAGATTCACGGTAGAGATCTGCTGGGAGCCCGACCCGCGGCAGCAGTTTGGGGCCTTAGTCCAAATATTTCTATTGCAAAAAAAAATACACACATTTATTTAATATACTGTATATTTTTTAATATTAAAACTTTTGTAACAAGCTAAGGGCTGACGTGTTTCTCGCATGTTCTCCTTCTCTTCCCTGTTTCAGTAGTCTGACTGCTCGTGCACGACAGGTTTGGCAGAGTGGGCTGCGCCTCTTGGTGGCGTGTAAGGTGGTCCATGATAATGCAGCATGCAGATGATGATTACCACTCTTCACTGCATGTTTCACACATTTCTCCCACTGCTTCGGGGGCGCAGAAGAAAGTACTGCCTACCAAGTCAGCCTGCTGCCCCTCTCACTCTCTCTTTCTCTCCTCTTCCATCCTTCCTTTGCACGCGCTCTCTTTACTCTGGTTCTCCACTATTTTGCACTATTGGTCCGTCACTTTAACTTTCTCTCAGTTGCAGTCCCTCCTTTCTTTCTCATTCCCTCTTGATTCAGTCCAATAAAACTTTTATTCACACATGAGAACTGCCGGTTTTATAAAAATCAATGAATAGATAAAAATTTTAAAAACTGATTGGAAAGAACACAGACTGATTCATCCCTGGGTAATAATGAGAAATTGAAGCCCACCCTGGCCTAAATCAGCGGGTTGGGTTAGGCTCAGGCAGAGCTCTAATGCACACTTTCCTCTGTGCAGTGATAAAGTTGGTGAGTGTAGTTCATTAGTAAGAAAATAGCTTCCACAAAAAAATGCTTACAACAAGGTCTGTGGATTATCTTGAGTAATCAGGTCATGATTTCTGGAAAAAGACGTTGTTGTTGAGTTTTTCATATGTATTTTTGACACTTATTGCACGACAAGCTGAGTGACATCTAGTTCCATTATACTGGAGAGAAGGCAGACACCTCTACAGCCAATATTTCCAACATCTGGCGGCTCACACCAAAACGATCGAGATTGATCAGAGGAAAAATATGTATTTTTTTAATTTGGGGTGAACTCTGCCTTTAAATCCAGGGTGGGCAAAGATGATTCTATAGATGAGTGATAATGTCTCTATTACTCTTTATCACTTAACTGTAAACTCAGTACTTTCTGTTTGGACTCTTGCAGGAACGATAACTCAGTTTTTCCAGTGATCTGATTGGTCCATGGTCAGGCTGCTGGCAGGTTGTGATCTGATGTTCTGAAGTTAACTTTAACCAACATCATCAGCTGTGTGATACCAGTTAACCTGTGTTAAGCCAAAAGAAAGCTGGACCACAAACTGATCTGACTCAGTGAAACAGGCGTCAGGAGGCTTTGAGCTGTGAGCTCTTTGTTCTATAGACTGATCATGTGTGCAGAGGTCATGTCCTGTGGCTGTGGTTGCTGCACTTCCTCATAAAACCCCACAGAAAGTACACTAAAGTGAAAAACAGACACATGAAGGCACTAAAAGAGTTTTCAGTGTCTTTGCACTGACTGTTCCTGGCTTAATCTCATTTCCTCTCTTTTCCTTTTCACCGTCTGGTTTTCATTTATCATTGGACCACTGATGTCATGTTTCTGTAGACACAATGGAGGATATTACGCAACTCTCCTCTGCTGTTGGAAATATTCAGGAGCGACCTAAGTTTATGGGGTTTAAAAGAGTTTATTTGAACTCTTACAACACCTGAACGCTGATTAAAAGCATTTGTCGGCTATAAACAAGTTTTTACACAGTATGGGACGACTAACTGACCTTGACAACATGCTTTATATAGTCAACAAAGAGGAACAGAAGACTGTGTTAAGTGAGCCTCCTTGTTTCAAAGTTCCCCAAATCTTCTTAAATACTTATTCGGTTGTACTTGCCAAATACTGCCTGTGAAGTGAACAGCCACCAAAGTAGCAAAAGTATCTTGAGGTTTTCTCTGAAAAGCACGTTCAGTAAAAACACAATGCAGTGTTTCTGCTCAGGGACAGACTCTGACTGTCAGAGCTTCTGGTAACAACATCTTTAAGTGTTACTGTTAATATACACTGAATCACTGGGTATCTTGAGTCTCCATCAGGGAGAAATTGTCACAGAGGTTACTCACTTTTTCCAGCTTCAGAGCTACAAATGATCTACATTTCAATTCTGTATTTAATTTTAGTTCAGTTTCATTTACAGCCTCTGTGAGTGAATGTGAAAGTAGATGGTGCATTCATGAGACAGGGAAGACTGCTGTAGCTGTAGTGTGTGTCCTTGAATTTGTAAAGCATCTTTGAATGCCCTGAAATGCGTTTTGTAAGTATTATTATTATTATTATTATTATTATTATTATTATTATTATCATTATTATTATCATTATTAATATTGAAAAATAGAAAAGCTAGAACCTGCAGCCTTACATCAAACTGCCACCTGATCACCTACTCTCTGCTACAACCAAGCCTCCATGCCAGCGATAGCCATAGCCGGAGTCATGGTGTTGTAGGGTTGTCCATCCGTTTGTCCCACTCTGGTGAACACAATATCTCAAGGATGCTCAGAAAGAATTACTTCAAATTTGTTACCAATGTCCCATTGGACGATGATCTGATGTTTGGTGTTCAAAGGTCCAGGTCACTGTGACCTCGTCTGTCTCAGTCTTGTGAATGTGATATCTCAAGAAGACCTTGAGGGAATTTCTTCAAATTTGGCACAAACGTTAACTTGGGCTGAAGAATAAACTGATTGGAATATGGTGGTCGAAGATCAAAGGTCAAGGTCAGTGCAACCTCACAAAACATGTTTTGGGCATAACTCAAGAATTCTTATGCTAATTAAGTTAACTAAACTAGTTAACTAAACTTCACACAGATGTCTAATAGGTTAAAATGATGACATTTTATATCCCAAAGGTCAAAGGTCAGCTTCACTGTGATGTCTTAATATTCTACATAAAACACTTTTCTGGTCATTATTTAACATCATATCTCAGGAACAGAAGGAGAGGCATTTGGTCAGACACTGATTTAGTGACACTAATCTTGAAACTGTGCTGATTGTATAGATCTTCTGTGCTGCTGGGGAGAAGATGTGTTTGAAGCATCCATGTTTTCACAGACATGAATGTAAACAGCAACAGCAAGAGAAACTTGACTGGTGCACAGAGGCAAACAACTGCAGGGCAGTAATTCTAGTTTTGTAGTCTTACACAGTGCACCCATGTTTTCCAAACCACATGATCAGTTATTCTGATTAGACTTATGCTTAGGGGAAAGGTAGGTGGAGGTGGAGCTTTACTGGGTATTTACTCAGGGCTACAGGACTGCTCTTCACTGGCACACAAAAGTTGAACAGCTTCTCCCTCATCTTGAGTGCAACGGCACTTTCTCATTTCATATGCAAATATTGGACTACTGGTTTATATTTATCTGCAGTGTCACATGTACTGATCTGGGTTATACGCCATACAGTAGTGCATACAGTGCACACAGCTGCATGGTCTTCTGTCGTCTTTCCTCATCAGGAAACAGAAAACAGCTGGCTGCCAGTGACAGACACATCTGGAGAAAATGTCAGGAAGTTAAAAAGAAAAGAAAAGAAAAGAAACAGAAGAGAAATCACTTTAAATAGGACGTTTAGAAATGAGAGGAAATTATCAAGTGAAAACAAGTGATTTCCAAGCTGTGATAGGAGTCCATTGTTATTTCTTCCTCACATTCAAATACTATAATTTCTTCAGTCAAGAGAAAATATTTGCTATTGTTGTTCAAGAATTGAAATATTAGACTAAACAGTAAATCATCAGCTGGCAAAACTAATTTTTCCTCTCCTTCAAACATTTCAAGATGCTGCATCTTAACCAAACAACTCTCCTCAGAATGGCCCAGAAAAGACGAAAATCAGTGAATTTGAGGAAACAAAACCTCTGAGCCAGTTCAAAATGACCCAAACTCACGCACCAACACGTCACAACCTGTGGAAAACCCTTTATGGAGATGTGTGTTGCTGTAATCGTGGCACATGCCAGTAAACATAAGCGCTGAATGGTTGAAAAAAAGAGTGAAGACTGTGCCTTTTTTAGTTTGAGAGTGCCAGACGAAAGGGCACAAAAAATCTTAAAGGGGTTGTAGAGTTGCCAGTGTAGGACATACGAGACTCGGCTCTGAGTTGTTAGACTAAACCTCATTAATACTTTTAGAGCATTAAAACTAGTAGTAAGTAGTCCTTGTATTAATATAGTATGCATGTACAGTAAACATAAGATATTTTTACATTACTGATGATGAGTTTAAAAAGCCTTGTTTCCACTAGGCAGTCCACTTCAGTTCAGTTTGTTACACATTAGAACCATTGTTTTTGCTTGGATGGCACCAGTAGAAACATCCCTATTTTTCATCACTCCTCTGTTGAGTTACCTAGCACGCTGATCTGATACTGGAGCTGTAAACACTGCAGTCAGTTGATTTGTTAATAGAGAACTGTCACTCTTGCTCAGGAGTCAGTTGTGACTGGTTTTTAAGGTTATATAACCACTGTTCATAATTTGGCAAGTTTTTCATTCATCAG